TATTCAATAAACATGTTCTTAATGTGTGCCATTTGTCAGACACTTGCTATAACTATTATGTAGGTAAAAAAGTCTGTCATTATGGAGCTTACACTCTCACTAAGGAGAGACACTATAAACAAATGGGCAACTAAATACAAGACATGGTTTCACATAGTTAGAAGTGCTATGAAGTGGTATATTACACAACACAGACTACAAGTGCTTTAAGAATTCAAGATAGTGAAGGCAAGAGAAACCTACCTGGAAGAAGAAAGGGATTAGTTCCTAAGAATGCTTAATAAATGTCAACTAACTCCCTACTATTATTTTCATCTTCATCCTCATTATTATTGTCATGGCCTCTGAAAGACGAGGTGTAAAGGTGAAGGTTATATTACTGTGGAGGTACTTTCAAGCATAAAAATGTAAGACTGGGAAGCAAGAACACGCAAGGCAAATCTATGAGACACAAATGAAAGTGGTCTGATTAGAGCAGAAGGCAGAGAACAAGAGAGACTTGCTAGGTAGGATGGGTCAAACAATGGGAGACTTTGAAAGAAAAAAAAAACTTTTAAAAAAAGTGTCTACTATGGGCAGTCCTCCCCCTGCATTTGGTGTGTCCACCTCACAGCAAAAGTAGAGAAGTGATTTACCCGGTTTGAAATTGGCAACCACGAGGCTTTTGAAAGCTGTGTTTTATGGAGGTCATTTTGACATATTGTATTTAATTGATTTAAAAAAAAAAAGAGATTAAGATGGTAAATTTTATGTGGGTTTTTTTTTTTTTTTACCAAAATAAGAAAAAAAAAATTAAAAAGACGGAGAAGGAGGAGAAAGAGCCCAGATGACTATTAAGAGATGAAAGCCTAGGCCAGAATGAAGACAGAAGGGTAACCAGACCTGCCTTGGTAGGTTACTTGAGGTGGCTGGTTCCCCATCCACCATCCCCACCCCTCGACCCCGAAAGAGTAACAAGCACTCATCACCTTCTTCAGAAAGTGTGTGAGAGAATAAAGAAGGCTGGGAGAGAAGAAATGTTTGGTGCACTTGAAGGGAAATGCAAGTTAACTAGTTCCTCCCATCCCCACCCCTCCATCTTTCTCTGGTAATCGGCGGAGATCTGGAGCTGGCGTCTGCGCTGGAAGCCAAGACTCCAGGCCCGGCTTGGACGTCAGGTATCAAATTCCCCGGCGAGAAGGGTCCCACCTCAGGGCTAGATCTCCATTTCCTGTGAGCTGCCAGACCCTGCAGTAAGCTTCAATGGTTATGGCGCTCTCCCGGCCCATCTCTTACCAGCACAAAAGCCATGGACTCCACTTCGCCTCAGCCCTACCTCTTCAGTTCTCCTCAGCGCTACTTAAGTCTGCGCTCGGGCCGCGTCGGTGCCCGCGCTGCTCGCCGATTGGATCTGCTCTTACCCACGCCAGCCAATCCCGAAGCTTGCTGGGACGCCGACTAGAAGTCTGCGCCGCTACTTTGGGATTGGTAGCCGAGCTGTGTGTCGCGCCTTTTCTGACGATTCGTACAGCATGGCGGCGGAAAGTAGCAGCGATTTGCAGCTGAGAAGAAGAAGGCGCCGGGACCCTGAGGAACCGGAAAAAACAGAATTCACCAAAAAAGATCTGGCAGTGGTAGTGACGGAGTCCCAAGAAAACGACGAGGAGAATGAAGAGCGCTGGGTTGGGCCTTTACCTGTGGAGGCAACACTGGCCAAGAAGAGGAAAGGTAGCAGTAGAGATAGGCCCGGGGCGGATTGGAATGCTACGTCCACCGAGTGGGACGGTGGAGTTCTAGCACACTCGAAAAGGGATGGAGTGTGATTGCGGGGGTTTTGTGCCTTCAAAATGTCTTCTCACTTCTGGACGCTCCAGAAATATTTGCACGTCTTTGGGAATTGTGATTTGGGCTTAGTATGGTGTTGTTGTTTTTTGGTTTGTTTTTTTTTAATAATACCTAACACTTTTGATCACTGATTTGGTGTATTAGACCTTAAAGCTAACATTTGCCTGTACTTGGCAAATGTACGTGGCGCCTCTCCTTTAATCCCCACAGCAGCTGTATGAGGTTGGAATGTCTAACTCCGTCGAGCAGTTGTGGAAAAGTGTACTGGTTCTGTTTCAGGCTTTTGTTCAGGAGTGGGGTTAAAGTGTTGGGGCGTGAGAGGAAGGTAGTGCCTATGTAGAATCATAGTAGGTAAAGATAATTTCGATCTTGACTCCTCCACTAATGAATTTGCTGATTTGAGGAGAGTAACTTAAGCTTCCTGAATCATAGTTTTTTTCATCCAAAACTCAAGGTCTTTGGTTTTCAAACCATACTCGTGAGATACCATGGGCTAAAGCATTTTGCCACTAACGTGGAATAATGGCAAATTATTATATAAAAGGGGTTAGGAAAGTAGTAGATTAATTTTTCAAATTTTTCTGTGAAATATTTTCCTTAAACATTAAAGACAATTAAAATGGGGTATTTCTAAGCTCAAATCTTAGTTTATCAACTATCCCCTACATAACACTGTTCAGTGATTTGTCATTATTTTCGTAACACAGCCCAAACTCCCTAACATGGCATATAAAGCCCTCTGTGATGTGATCTCTCCTTACTTTCCCAGAACATCTTCCATTAACCCTTTCTCACAGCCTCTTACTTTGTGCTCCAGCCATTCTAAACCACTTGAGAATGGGCCATGTACTCTTCCTTCTCTGGATTCCTCCCCAAATATCATGGTGTCTCTACTGAGAATAATTTCCCTCACCCTTTTCACTGAACTAACTCCTATTCAACCTTTGAGCACTTAGCTGTCACCTCCTCTGGGAAGCCTGTGACTTCTCCAGCCTGTACTCGATTCTATAGCACTTTGATCATAACTCTGAGGTAGTGTTTATCACAGTGAATTAACAGGTAGCCTTCGAAGTTTATGTATACAAGTTTTTAAGCAGCTATTTTTTTGGACATTGTATTGACACCCTTAAAATGCATTATCTTCTTTACTGCCTAGTTCTCCTGAAATGTTTCCATAGCAACCTTTTCCTTCATGGCACTTGCTACAGTTTGTAATTGTATATTTATTCATGTGATTGTCTGATTAATGTTTCTCTCCACTAAGACTGTAAGCATGTAAGAACCAGGTTTTGCCAAAGTACAGTGTTTTGCATATAGCAGGTGCTCCCTAACTATTTAATAAACACATTTTATAATATTTATTATATAATTTAACTATTTTGTTGTTTATGAATATTTTTCCATGTTCTTTTTTAATGAAGTGAGTGGGAGGAAGTGGAAAAATACAGAAATATAAAAATGCTGATATTGGTAATAGGAGACAAGTATCTTATACACTTAATATAATTGAAACAGAGATGGACATTATTAGGTGTGAAAATCTTTACCCTTAATCAGATGCTTATTGTTTAAGCTGGCCAGTAGTATATTCAGTTTGAAGGAAAAAGTGAAACCGAAAAACATATATGAAATGTTAGAAAAATATCACTGAAAATTTTGTCTGAAAGGACAAGTGTTTAATAATTTTAGCTTTCTAGAAATGGATCCATCCTTTTAATGTGTTCTTTGGACTTTTGTACATATTTTTCAGAAAGACATTATTATATGGCACTAACCTTTAATTAAACTGTTTCTTAAGGACAAGAACTATGACTTACTTTTCTTTATATCCATGTACCCTGGAATCTATTTTGTTCTCACTAAATATTTGTTCACAAATGAACTAACAAACAGAAAAAGGAATCTGAATCAGGTAGGATTAAATTTATCTGCATATATCAAAAAAACACAAAATAACAATGATGTTAAAAAGAGAGGTATACTTCTTTTATGTGTAGAAATCCCAAAGTAGGCAGTCTAGGATTGGTAATAGAAGTTCCAAAGGTTCCTAGGTTCTTTCTAGCTTTCTGCCCTAACATATCTAGGGTAAGGCCCTCATCTTTATTGACTTGAGTGATTATTAGGATTATAGCAGTCATATCCCTGTTCCATGCCATAAGATTGAGGAAAGAAAGAAGGACACACCTTTTCAAGGCAGCTTCCTCACTATCACAAAACACTTCCACTTTTATCTCATTGGCTATGTTCAAACCTCACTACAGAGGAAGGTGAAAAAGATCATGTTATAACTGGATGTCAGGATGGTCATATGTAAATGGGGTTCCTGTTACTAAAAATAAAGGGAGAAGTAGTTTGTCAGACACAACTTTAAGTCTGCTATATAACATTTATGAAAAATTCTGAAACAGTTTGTCATGTTAATTTATCAACTTTTTTATAGGCATGTTTGGCCATCATTGGATTAGTTTATTTGTTATACATAAAATCTCATTTTTTTTGCTAGTGAAATTGTTTATAGCTCATATAATAAAATCAATATTTCCTGATATTTCTCAGATTACTTCTCACAGATATTTTGCCCCTGTAAAAAAATTTGAGAAACACTCAACTGGATCTTCCCTGTGATTTTTCTCAGCTCTAAAAACCTAAGCATTTTATTGTGTTTAAATATTTCAAACATAGTATCAATGACTTCAAAGAGGATTGGTGTCTTAAAGATAAACTGAGACATCTTACAGATGGCCACTGTCTCCTTATTAAAATTAGCACTGATAATTGGATCTACATGGTTAGGAAAATGGTTGTGATAGTTTCATAGAACTTTTTTAAAGTTGTTTTTTTTTAATGAAACCTTTACAAGAAGCAAGAAACACTCAGTTCTTAAGTCCTGGGGACAGTTAAGCATCTTATAATACCTGTGAACCTGTCATAACTGACTAAATAAATGGTGCTTTTCCATACTCTGAAATAATAAAAGTTAAAAATGACTTAGCAGGTAGTGTTTTTTTTTTTTTATCATAACATTTGAATTGAAAGACAATCTAGGAGAAAATACAAAGTAGAATATAGAAATTTTAAAGAAAATACAAAATAGAATTTAGTTAATTTGTTAAAAATAAATTTTTACTTTACTTTTTTTCCCCTTAGTTCTAGAGTTTGAGAGAGTCTATCTTGATAATCTCCCCAGTGCATCCATGTATGAGCGCAGTTACATGCATAGAGATGTTATCACCCATGTGGTATGTACCAAGTAAGTTTATCACATCATTTTAATTTTTTTTCTGAGAAGTTTATTTTCTTTAAAAAAAAAACGCCTTCAATTTTGAGGTGGATTTATAAAAGTAATTTTAGGATTTTATATTTCTAGTTAATTCCATTAGGTTCTGTGACAGTTTAAGTTAAATAAAGGCCAATGTGTTCTATCCTATATCATACAAAGAAAGCATTCTCTAAGACAGAGCACCCACAGAGTTTATGCGTATGTCTTTGGAGATAAATGCCAAGAGGAAGATGAACCAGGTAGACTTTGAGCTTTCCTGAAGAAGAGGGTATGTTAGTTAAGATAGGAGTAATTGGTACCGAGAGTCTTTGACATTAGTGGAGACAATAGTGGGAACTAAGACATCCTAAAATATCTAAAGACCTTCAAAACAGATGAATAGGGGATTTGGGAAGGATAATAATAGTTCAGGTTGGGCATCCCAAATCCAAAATGCTCCAAAATCCAAAACTTTTTGAGTGCCAACATAACACTCAAAGGAAATGCTTGCTTGAGCATTTCAGATTTTGGATTTTCTGATAAGGGATATTCAGCCAGTAAGTATAATACAAATACAGGCAGTTCCTGGGTTATACATTCCTGAGAACGTCTTTAGGTTGGATTTGTATGTGACTTGGATTCCTGATGAATAGTGTATATACTATAATAATAATAATAATAACACTGTAATGGCTTATATTTGGTAATAATAATATAATGTAATACTGTAATAATACCCCTATACTGTGATAATAAGTTACAGAAATTATGGTGCTCTTTCTTTTAATTGAAACAAATAGAACATAAAGACAAACTTATACAAAAAGTTTAGATAGGAGGCCTGATATGGTGGCTAATGCACTTTGGGAGGCTGAAGTGGAAGGATTGCTTGAGGCCAGGAGTTCAAGACGAGCTTTAGCCAGAGGAAGACTCTGTCTCTAGTAAAAATAGAAAAATTAGCCAAGTGTGGTGGCGCTCCTTGTAGTTCCAGCTACCAAGGGGGGTGGGGCAGGTAAGATGGGATGAGCTCAGGAGTTTGAGGTTGCAGTGAGCTATGATGACAGCACTGCACTCTAGCATGGGTAACAGAGCCAAGATCCTGTCTCAAAAAAAAAAAGTTTAGATAAGAGATAGAACAAATTTCCCAAAAGGCTATTTATTAAAGGTTAACACTCACCTAATATTGCATCACTACTAAGCTAATAGGAATGTTATACTTATTTTGATCTTCTTACCAAATCAATAATAACCTTTTCATTTCAATAATTAATCCACTATGCTGCTTAGTTAATAATTGATGCTTTCATTGGAGCACTGCCTTTCCCATGTTCCATTATTCTCACTTTATCCTTTATAATTCTTCCAATAGTCAAGTGACTAAAGCCTAATGCTTTCCCAGTGAATAATGGCCTCTTGCCTTTCTCCAAATGCTTAATTATGGCTACTTTCATTTCCATTGTAATCACCTTTCTCTTTGCTGCAGGCTTACCTGGACTTTCAGTGGACTTTCACTTTGGAGGCATGGTCATAAGAATAAACACAGACTCAAAAAATCACATAAAAATGTTAGGATGAAAGTGATGATGTGCCTAAGCAACTGCATAAACAGTGAGACTAGCTGCTATAGTACAAATGCTGTGCCGGTGAACTGCTTATGCCATGAGAGTTTGTTTACATGCTGGGAAGACACTATTTCCCAAATTATTGATTTGATTATTTAATTATAATTTATCCTAAGGGGAGCTTTGGGAGCCTGTTCGTAAGTACAATAAGTCATCTGTAACCCAAAGACTGCCTGTATTCCAAAATCTGAAAAAATGCAAAATCCAAAACACTTCTAGTCCCAAGCATTTCAGATAAGGGATACTCAACCTGTAGTAATATTCTACTGTTTGTTGAGCTCATAGTATGTCCAGGTACTCTGCTAAGACTTTTTTATAATTATTTCATTTATCTTAAGAATAATCTTGTGAGGTAGTGGATGATCTTCACTTTATAGTTGAGGAAACTGAAATTTAGAGAAGTTAAATGGCAGATGAGGCTTAATCTGGCAAAAAAAAGGCAAGGCTTAATCCCAGAGGGCATTCTATTCCTTATATGGATTTTGAACCTGTGAGCAGGAGAGTAACATCAGATTTATTTTTTTAAAAGGACTACCCTGGATGTGGTGAGATAATGGATTCAAATAGAGCAGGAATGGATATAGGGAGAGCAGTTAGGAGGCTGGTAGAGAAATCTGGATGAGACATGTTGGTGGCTTGGATGATATTGGCAGTGAGTATGGAAAATAGATGGATTACTCTGGGGATCAGTCTGTCTTTGATCTCTAGATGACAAATAGCATTTTAGATATAAATCTGAATAACATATCTTTATATACCATGTATAGGATAATTCTGACCAAATAGTAGCACCTTTCCTAGTCCAAAGTTGTCAGTGTATAAAGCATCATATGTTACTAAGCATTGCTATCATTCTCTCCCTCAAGTATTTTTTGTTTTGTTTTCTAAACCAAGTCAGTGGAGTGCAATACAAAGATTATAGGTTTTGTGGTTAGGTAGATCTGAAAGCCACTCTTTAGCTATGTGGACCTAGAACAAGTGAATTTTAACGTTTTTTAAAAAATATTTTTTACCCTAACAACTTGAATGCAAGTGGAGACATTTTAAAACAATTCCCTATTTATAAATGATAAAAATACCACCAAATAAAGTTGCTGTAAAGATTAACTAGGTAATATATATAAAGTACTGGACATTCACTACGTTTCAATAAACAGTTTCTATTTTTATATACCTTATATAGGGGAGACCGTTCTGTATAAAATCTCTTTGACAAATAACCAAACTACCCTGGATATAATATAAAATAAACTTATGTTGAATTTTGCTATATATTAAAGTAGTATTAATATGTTTATTTATCAACTTCTGAAAAGAACTACATTTTCTCATGAAAATACTGCCTATAAGGTGATTTTAGCAATAAGGAATCCAAGTCTAGTAATTTAGTGAGATTCTTTTTTTTTTGATGTCATATACTAATTCAATTCTGATCCTAGTTCTTGAAGTTAAAATAAGTGCAGCAGCAGCTATTATGATATCCAAAAAAAAGAGCTTCAAAATTTACAATGTTTTATCTATGCTAATACAGTAGTCTGCTTAAAAGAAGATTTTTTTAAAACCTATTTTGAAAGAGTCAAAGATTCTCAGTGAATGATTGCTTTGAAGAAACTGACTGATTCATAGATCTGTATTAGAAATTAACTTTTAAAATTTTATATATGCAGGACAGATTTTATTATTACTGCCAGTCATGATGGACATGTCAAGTTCTGGAAAAAAATAGAAGAGGGAATTGAATTTGTTAAACATTTTCGCAGTCACCTGGGTAAGAATTTCACCTTTTTTTTTTGGTAGCTGTTTTTTAAACAGCTACTAATATAATTAAAGTTTTTTAAACTAATCTAATTAAAGTTTCTTTTAGAATTTTGTTTTTTTTCTTTGAATCATGCACATTTATTTCATTGGTATTTACTAGAATATTTTAATTTGATTTATTTAAATAGGAATTATCGAGAGTATTGCAGTTAGCTCTGAGGGAGCATTATTCTGTTCTGTGGGTGATGATAAAGCAATGAAGGTGTTTGATGTAGTGAACTTTGACATGATCAATATGCTGAAACTTGGGTGAGTCTTTTTTAAGGTATATATTTTTTAACTTACTAAATAATTTTAAAACCAAACTTCACCATTTGATAGGTTATTTCTAAACAGTATATTACCATACTATTAAAAATGTGCCTTTCGGTTTTGCTTGGGGAAATTAGCTATGATGAATCCTTGTTATGATGTTTAGAAGCTTCTGCTGTGGTTTTTGTCATTAATCACAGAAATTTCTAAACAGCATCACAACTAGAGGATTCATTATATCCAATTAATACTGCTTCGTAAGTTAATGAGAATTCATCGTGTCTGATTACTGGTACTTAGAATTAACTTCCTTGCTTGTACTTGTTACAGTAATATGGAATGTGTTCTTATAAAGTTTATGCACATTTTTGGAACTGAGGCTATTTCTTAGTGATTTTAAACTTTGGAGTATATTGATACCCAAACCATGTGGTTAGACCATAAAGTATTAAGACTGATACTTTATTTAAAGCATGTCTTTTTTAAGCTAACATATTGCATTTGTATACATCTAAATAAATGGCAGCTTGAAAGTCATAGCAGTGTCAGAAAGTTTTGGGACTTGCTTTGGTCTGCTTGGATGCCGTAACAAAATACCATAGACTGGGTGACTTAAACAACAGAAATTTATTGTCTCACAGTTTTGCATGCTGGAAAGTCCAAGATCAAGGTTCCACCAGGATTTGGTTTCTGATGAGGGCACTCTTCCTGGCTTCTCTTTGTGTCTTCACATGGTTGGGGGAAGGAATAAAGAAGGGAGAAAGAGAAGGAGACCTATCAGATTAGGTCCCTACCTTTATGACTTCATTAACCTCCTAATGACACTATCTCCAGAAAGTCCTACTATGAACTGAATTATGTCCATAATGTCAAATAATTTCAAATTTTGGAATTTTCTTCAAAATTGCTTTATGATTTCACGAGCCACTAAAGGAAATCAGTCTTGTTCTTTAGGGTTAGAACTTATTTTTGGACCACAAATAGAATACCTAACTTGATCATCTGTTTTATTCCCCAGCTTTGTTTCCACTCACAAATATTGAACATTTGCCCTTTGAGGATACTTGAAAAAGTATTTTTCAGCCTTTGATAGAAATTCTAAAAGAAAAGTACCGAAAAGGTTTTGCATGTCGACACCATGGTTGGAATAATAGTGTAACCTCTCAGAATGACTACTTTTAAGGAGACAACACTCATTTGAGTGTATAAATGTGATATATTCATTAAATCTGTCCCAGTTCTTTTATACTTTGTTTACCAGCAGCATGTTCAGAGCTTATAATTTTAATACAAGATTGAGTTAGTCATAATGAGAGTGTTTCAGAAAAATGTTTTTCTTTTGAGCAGAGCCATAACTAAAATATTTTTATTTGAACTATTTCAAGAATGGATTTATAAAGTATACTCTCACATGCTAACATATTTAAAAGTAAGTTATATATAGACTAGCTTACAGAGATTCACAAAGCAATGCCCCAGAATATCTTAAGGCCCACATCTGATTAGGTTTCCTTATCTACCCAGTGGAATTAAATGGGCTGCTATATGTAATTCTCATTTTATGGTTCAATAGATCCAAAGAACTTATTATCATTATATTGATGAGGTCAGAAAGAGAGAAATTAGGTGTTCCTTCCCATTCTGTATCTCTGTTACTTTTGAACAAGGAATCCAAAACTATCTAAATTACTGGCCAAAATATTTTCTTGCTGGTGTGTTAGGGAGGGATGCTTGCTTGTGATACTGACCTTTTCCCCCCCTCTTTTAATTCTTTATTATTTTAGTTATTTTCCTGGACAGTGTGAGTGGATCTATTGCCCAGGGGACGCCATATCTTCAGTTGCTGCTTCTGAGAAGAGTACAGGAAAAATTTTCATTTATGATGGCCGAGGAGATAACCAACCACTTCATATTTTTGACAAACTCCATACATCACCTCTTACTCAGATACGGCTAAACCCAGTTTACAAAGCAGTAGTGTCTTCTGACAAATCTGGAATGATTGAATACTGGACTGGTCCTCCTCATGAATATAAATTCCCCAAAAATGTGAACTGGGAATATAAAACTGACACAGATTTATATGAATTTGCAAAGTGTAAGGCTTATCCAACCAGCATATGTTTTTCACCTGATGGGAAGAAAATAGCTACTATTGGTTCTGACAGAAAAGTTAGGATTTTCAGATTTTTAACTGGAAAACTCATGAGAGTCTTTGATGAATCACTAAGTGTAAGTGTAATTTAAATTTAGTCAGTTTCTAAAAATGTCTTTATTTTGTGTTGTTTCTTAAAAGATTTTTTTTCTGGCCGGGCACGGTGGCTCACACCTATAATCCTAGCACTCTGGGAGGCCGAGGCTGGCGGATTGCTCGAGGTCAGGAGTTCAGAACCAGCCTGAGCAAGAGCAAGACCCCGTCTCTACTATAAATAGAAAGAAATTAATTGGCCAACTAATATATATATATAGAAAAAAATAAGCCGGGCATGGTGGTGCATGCCTGTAGTCCCAGCTACTTGGGAGGCTGAGGCAGTAGGATTGCTTGAGCCCAGGAGTTTGAGGTTGCTGTGAGCTAGGCTGATGCCACGGCACTCACTCTAGCCTGTGCAACAAAGCGAGACTCTGTCTCAAAAAAAAAAAAATAAAAAGATTTTTTTCTGTTCATATACACTTAGGTTGACAGTTATTTTCTCTTAGCACATTAAAGATATTATTCAACTGTCTTCTGTCTTGCATTGTTGCTCTTTGAAACTCTCTTCCCCAGGTTTATGATCCTGTATTTTCCAAGCCAGTTATCCTCCTATTTATGTGGATGATTTTTCATTTTATTGCAAACTTATCCTTAATATCCTCAAAACTCGTTCTAGGCCTTCTTCTCTTTTTATTCACTTCTGTCCATATGACTACTCCAAAATTAATCTCTCTAGTTTTTTATTATGAATAAACCTGGTCCTGTCCTTTTTTTTGCTGTTTTCGTGGATGGCACCAATATCTGTCTAGTTGTACAAACCAGAAACCTGAGTCATCCTTAACTCTTTTTCCTTAGCCCGTATTTAAATCATCATGAGTCTTGCCAATTTTACTTTTTAAGTATACTTTAATCCATCCATTTCTTTTTAGCACAGTCTTGACTACTGTAGTTCATGATCTTTTGCCTGACCTATTGCATTGCCTATTGTCTGTATCTATTCTGGCTTCCTCCTCTGCACCCAGAACAATCTTTTAAGAGCACTTATTTGGTCATGTCATTCCATTGCTTAGAATCTTTGAGTGACTTTGTGGTGTTCTTAGGATAAAGACCAAAGCCATGGCCTACCATGTAGTTCCAGCCTATCATAAAGCACCCTTCTCCCTGCCTCTTACTCTATCCATTTGGGCCTTGTATTTCTTTTTTTTTTTTTTTTGAGACAGAGTTTCACTTTGTTGCCCAGGCTAGCATGAGTGCCGTGACATCAGCCTAGCTCACAGCAACCTCAGTCTTCTGGGCTCAAGCGATCCTACTGCCTCAGCCTCCTGAGTAGCTGGGACTACAGGCATGCACCACCATGCCCGGCTTATTTTTTGTATATATATATATTTTAGTTGGTCAATTAGTTTCTTTCTATTTTTAGTAGAGGCGGGGTCTCGCTCTGGCTGGTTTTGAACTCCTGACCTTGAGCAATCCGCCTGCCTCGGCCTCCCGGAGTGCTAGGATTACAGGCGTGACCCACTGCGCCTGGCCAAGGGCCTTGTATTTCTTAAACGTGGCTCCCACCATAGGGCTTTTGTATATGTTATTCCCTCTGCCTGGAGTGAAAAACCTCCTTGCTCCTCACATTCCTCCATTACCTATTGAACTAATCCTTTATATTTCAATTGAAGAGTCACTTCCTCTGGGAAGCATTCAATATTCATCCAGTCTAGAACAGCTTTTGTTTCTTTGTTTTTAAAGACACAGGGTCTTACTCTTTCACACAGGCTGGAGTGCACAATCATAGCTCATTGTAACCTCAAACTCCTGGGCGCAAGCCATCCTCCCACCTCAGCTTCCCAAGTAACTGGGACTATAGGTGTTTGCCAGATAAGATTTTTTATTTTATTTGTTTATTTTTTTGAGACAAAGTCTCACTCTATTGCCCAGGCTTTAGAGTGCCATGGTGTCAGCCTAGCTCACCGCAACCTCAAACTCCTGGACTCAAGCAATCCTGCCTCAACCTCCTGAGTAGCTGGGACTACAGGCATGCACCACCATGTCCAGCTAATTTTTTCTATATATTTTTAGTTGGTCAATTAATTTCTATTTATAGTAGAGATGGGGTCTCGCTCTTGCTCAGGCTGGTTTCAAACTCCTGACTTTGAGCGATCCACCCGCCTCTGCCTCCCAGAGTGCTAGGATTACAGGCATGAGCCACCGTGCCTGGCCTTGTAGTGTGTTAATACAGAGTAATTGAGATGTTACTGCCATCTTGAAATTTGTGTATTAAATAGCAAAAGTAAACCAAATTTCCCAACTATAGAGGGCATTTCAAAATAACTTGAAACATTTTCTGAAATATGAATTTGTTATAGTGAGATAAGAGTTCATTCAGTAAAAGTTGAATGTTATATGTCTGGCACATGATCACTATACAAGGACCTCATACATAGTCTATAGATGTATTGTCCAATATAGGTAGTAGCCACCAGCCACGTGTGGCTATTGAACATTTCATAGGTGGCTAGTCCAAATTGAGATGTGCTGAAAGTATAAAATACACACAAGATTTCAAAGACTTGATATTTTAAAAAATATGTTATCCCAATTTTTTATATTGTTAATGTGGATATGATAATGAAATATTAAATATGAATAATGAAATATTTATGTTTAATGTTTAAACATTAATATGTTTAATGAAATATTAAAATGAATTCCAACTTTCTTTTTACTTTAATGTAGCTACTAGAAAATTAGAAATTACGTATGTGGCTTGAATGCAGATTTCTCACCATTAAGTATGTTAAAAAAAATAAAAGACAGCAGATGTATTATTATTTCTATAGAGAAAGCAGTAGTTATATTAACCAACTGGGTTTTTAAATTAGAAAAAACAGTCACTATTTAGTTTAAAATACTATTTTTTAATGCTTGAACTTCCTAATGTCTCTTTGTTTCATGTTTATAGAATTTAGAATTCCTCTTAAGATACATAAGTGCATAAACTGTTAGGGCTCTCAATGTGTATTGTACTTCTATTTAAATTTCGTGTGTGTGTATATATATATATATATATATATATGATACCTTTCTTTGTATATATATGTATGTAGAGTTTTTGGTAATAAACAGTTTGTTTCCTAGATGTTTACTGAACTGCAACAGATGAGGCAACAGCTACCAGATATGGAATTTGGCCGACGAATGGCCGTGGAACGTGAATTAGAGAAAGTGGATGCCGTAAGATTAATTAATATTATTTTTGATGAAACTGGACACTTTGTGCTATATGGAACAATGCTGGGCATTAAAGTCATAAATGTGGAGACAAACCGGTAAGCTTTAATATGTTGTGTATTTTTTTAAAAATGCACTTACGGGGCACTATTTCCTCCATCAGAGAAACAATGGGAGTTTTGTTTGTTCCAAGACAAGTGGAATGGTCCCAAATGTCTAAACTTAACCAAATGTTTTGACTGGATTTTTCTGTGGTCTCTCAGTTGTTTATAATCTTATGTAAAAAGTTTCCACTCATGTTTGTAAAAGAAGTGGAAAGAAGATATGCATAGTTTCAAGTTTTTTCTTTTTTTAACAAGTTTCAGTCTGTCTTTTGCTTATTGATTTAAATTAGCCTGGATCATGTTAAATGTTGCCAAAGATTTTAACCACAGAATTCAGCATTACATCCTGCTAGACATAAAATCAGAAGTTAAAATGCATGAAACCACAATAAGCCTTTTTTTGTGCAAACTGACCATTTGGTCTTAGTACAAAATAGCTACATTCAGATACTATCAACAAATGTAAATGAACTTAAAGAATATTTTTAGGAGAAAAAAAATCTTGTGCTGTACATTCCTATGTATAAACATATTTATATTGGAGTTCTTGGCAATATAAATCTGTGAAGGCTTACAGAAAGATTAAAATAATAGGAATAGGTTAAAATTGTATAAATGAATGATTTTTTTGTTTTTTGTTTAATAGACTTGACTTTTTAGGACAGTTTTAGGTTCACAGTGAAATTAAGAGGAAGGTACAGAGATTTCCCAGGTACAGTCTGGCTGTACACATGCATAGCCTTCCTATTATTAACATCCCCCACCAAAGTGGTACTTTTGTTGGTAATGATAAACCTACATTGACACATCATTATTATCCGCAATCCATAGTTTACATTAGGGTTCACTCTTGGTAGTGTTCATTCTATAGGTTCGAATGTATAATGGCATGTATCCACCAATATAGTATCAAACAGAGTAGTTGCATTGCCCTAAAAGTCCCCTGTGCTCTGTTAACCCTCCATATCCTGTAATCCCTAGCAACCAGATCTTTTTACTGTCTCCATAGTTTTGCCTTTTATAATATCCTTTCATATAGTTAAAATAATGCAGTATGTAGCCTTTCTGGAATGGCTTCTTTCCATTAGTAATGTGTATTTAAGGTTCTTCTATGTATTTCTATGGCTTGATAGCATATTTCTTATTAGCACTGAATAGAATTCCATTGTTTGGATGTACCACAGTTTGTTTATTAACACCTAACTGAAGGATATCTTGGTTGTTTCCAAATTTTGGCAATCATGTATAAAGCTGCTGTAAACATCAATGTACAAGTTTTTGTGTGGACATAAGGTTTCAGCACCTTTGGGTGGATACCACAGAGCATGATTGCTGGATCATATGGTAACAGAATATTTAGTTTTGTTAGGAATGGCCAAATTGCATTCCAAAGTGGCTGTACTCTTGCATTCCTTATAGCAGTGAATGAGAATTTCTGTTGCTCCACATCCTTGCCATCATTTGGTATTGTCAGTGTTCTAGATTTTGGCCATTCTATTAGGTGTATAATGGTATATTGTTTTAGTTTGCATTTTCCTGATGGTGTATGAGGTGGAGCATCTTTTCATATGCTTGTTTGCCATCTGTATGCGTTCTTTGGTGAGGTATCTGTTAAGGTGCTTGGCCTATTTTTTAATTGGGTTCTTGGTGTTCTTATTGTTATAAGAATTCTTTGTATTTTGGGTAACAGTCCTCTCCCAGTCTGTGGCTTTTCATCCTCTTGATGATTTTTTTTTTAACCTGAAAATTATAGTAGCCTACTAATTTAAAATGATACCTTTCTTTGGGTAGAGAGACAGTTTTAAAAACCTTTCACTAGTTATTTTTTACATAGATAAGATACTTGACTCCTCGTAAAGTTGTCCAAATGGGAGTTAATTCTGGTAATTTTATTCTATACAACATTGTTATGTTTTCCAGGTGTGTGCGGATCTTGGGCAAGCAAGAAAATATTAGAGTGATGCAATTGGCTTTGTTCCAAGGAATAGCCAAAAAGCATCGTGCTGCAACTACTATAGAGATGAAAGCTTCTGAAAACCCTGTTCTTCAGAATATTCAAGCTGACCCAACAATAGTCTGTACATCTTTCAAAAAGAATAGATTTTATATGGTATGTGGAAATACTAGGAAATAGATACTAATGTTTCTTCCAGTTTGGTTGGGAGTATTTTTTCTTGGCTTGTGTCTTCAACTGAAGAGAATGTTGGCAGTAACAGCAGTCTTTCTAAGCAACCAGAATACCATCCTACAACACTAATATTGTAGAATTTTTAACTAGGAGTTGATTTGAAGCATTTCTATACTGTTTTCTATCATGTTTTGAAAATTTTTCAACCTGGCTTCTATAGTAACTATTTGTGTTATCTAAGATGATAGGAAGTTAGTGGTTATGGTCATAATTGCCTCCAAAATAGTTTCACTGTGGGGTTTTTTAATTTCTTTAGTATTTTTATTATTTTTCAGCTTTTACTCTTGAACATAACTTATCTCCCCCAAATTTGCAGTTTCCTTCTCTAAATACATTTCGTTTTTTAACTTTTGACTTCATTGTAATGATGCTACCTTGGAATTATATATTCCTGTGGAATATTTTTTCCCTATGGAAAACTAAAAGTTCTTTGCATGTTATTAATACTAAAATTGAGCTCAAAATGAAACTACTAAGTTATTAGAAGTAGCACAGTCCCAATTGTTCATCTAAGAAGAAAAACTCAAAGTACAGAGACCTCTGCCTTTGTATCTTTCACACTGCAGTCAGAGAACTTTCTGAGACCCAAAATGACTTATTTCTCAGCCTAAAAGCCTTTAATAACTCCCTAGCTATCTGATAGCTGGCCCTTCCCAGTTATGTAGCTTTATCTTTCTTCATTTTTAGTTCATTTGCTATACTGACCATACTGAATATCCCATTCACAATAGTTTAATGTTTTGTATTTTTCAACTCTGGACCTTTGCACAGGCTATTCCTTCCACCATCCACATACTTCTATCCAATTCCTACTCATACTTCAGGTCTCATCTTGAAAACCTTAACATCAAGTCTGAGTTGATGTTTTTGGTTGTTGGGTTTGACACTGTCCTCTTCTCAAGATAATCTAAAATCCATAAATGTAGGGGATTTTGTCTTGTCAGACACTATTAAATCTACAAAGTATAGTAAAGTGACTGACTCATTATAATATATACATTCATTCATCTGTATATTGCAAGCAGTTGTGATGCTATTAAAGGTTACCAGCATTTGATAAATATATGGAATAGCAGTTTCCCTACCACAAATAAGCTTTCAGCCTAACATGGGTAAATTATTTTGAGATGAGAATTTCACTTATAATTTTCAAAGTCATTGCTTAAAAATTTACTCATACCTGTTAAGGGAAAATAGGCCGGATATAGTAGCTTATACCTATAATCCCAGCACTTTGGGAGGCCAAGGCAGGAGGATCACTTGAGGCCAGGAGTTTGAGACATGACTGGGCAACATAGTGAGGACCACGTCTCTACAAAAAAATTTAAAAATTAGCCAGGCATGGTCGCATATACCTATAGTCCCATCTATTCAGGAGGCTGAGCTGGGAGGATTGCTTGAGCCTAGGAGTTAGAGACTGCAGTGAACTATGATTGTACCACTGCATTCCAACCTGGATGACAGAACAAGATCCACTCTCCAAAAACAAAATAATGTGTCTTATTTTTAACCTGTAATTTAACTGTTATGAAATAAAAGTTAATCATAAAAGATAATTGTTGATATACACTAAAAATGCATATACTAATTCTCCATCCACTTTATTTTAAAATGTAAGTAACAAGCTATATTTTCTTTTTCCAGAGTTTACCTTTATGCTGTTCAAAGCATACATATTTGTTATAAAGTTTGAGGAAATGGAGAAACAAAAAATAAGTCACTCACTGCTTCCTTACATAGCTAACATTGTTATGAATATCTTTCATCTGATTTTCACTTATTAGAAGTACATATTCTTAAGCAAAACTAAGATGATATGCATATATATGAATTTTGTATCCTTTTATCCAAATCCAACGTCATGGAATAAAACTACTTTTACAAATCTATATGTAAGCTAAATCAAGGTAACTTTTGAAAATTCATATAAATAAATAGTAAAATAGACATGCCATTCCTTTTAAAACTGGAGAATAAGATGTCAAAGTGATAACATCCTAGCTTTGTTGTTTCTTTATTTGGAATCTACTCAAGTGGATCAAGGAATGATATTAGGCAAGACAGGGACTGGGGCACTAGCTTTACTTTCCTAGAACTCAATTGGCATCAGGTAGAGCTTGCTTAGTAAAGATCTCTACTTACTAAGAGTAAAGTAAAAGAAACAGGCCTTGAGAAGTGAAGAGTTAAAAACTGAAAGATTTTTCTCAGTTCTTCCTATACTCTGAGGATCCTGAGATTTCTACAACTTCACTCAAAATTTGCATTCTTTCTTCCAAGCTTCAGGGTTTGGATTTATATAGATCAGGTAGGACTCTGAAAAAAATTTAAAAAGTGAAGATCCACATGGATTCATCTTTGTGAAACCTCATCCTACCTAATACTGGGTCCTGCTCATAACAGTAATAACAATTGTTAATATGTATATAGTACCTTCTATGTGTTGGGCACTGTTCTCTAAGCACTTTATATCCATTGATTTAATCTTCACAATTACCTTCATTGGTAAGTAGGTACTATTATCCTCACTTATGAATGAAAAAATGGAAGAAATTAATTCATTTCTCCAACATCATATAACTAGTAAAGGCAGAACTGGAATTCAAACCCAAGCAATCTAAATAATGAAAAGTGAGCAACAGATGACAGCTTAGGACTTACCAGAAGGCAGAAATAGAGAGTTACAACACATAAAACCATTATCTTGTTAAATGTGTACCCAAGAATATTTCTATACAAAGCAAATTAAATTCCATTTGAAATCAACATGTTCATTGTATTACATGGATTATTTTCATATTAGACAAATGTAAAAATAATTTAACTGCCTTATACACCCTCTGATGGGAAATGATTCCTGAAATAAGGATTTATTCTGATATAAATTCTTACTTTCCTTAAATACTTCATTAGAAATTTTCTTGTTCATAAATTTTTACCAGATGAAAACTTTAATTCATTTACTCGCTTTTTTACTTTCCTCCTTGAGTTTACCAAACGAGAACCAGAAGATACAAAAAGTGCAGATTCTGACCGAGATGTTTTTAATGAGAAACCTTCTAAAGAAGAAGTCATGGCAGCTACTCAAGCTGAAGGACCTAAACGAGTTTCAGATAGTGCCATTATCCATACCAGCATGGGAGACATTCACATCAAACTTTTTCCTGTTGAGTATGTACAACAACAATTTTTGTTGGCTTACATAATTACAAATGTAAATGTGTATATCTGAAGGAACTATTCAACTTAAAATTCTTATTAAGGAATTTGAAAAATTGAAATGTTTAATATTCTATTCCTGAGCTTTCTGTTAACTGTTAATGCTAGAAAATGAGAACATTTAATACATATATACACATACATCACAGGTTTATTATGAGGAAAAAATACATTATGAAAGTGCTGAATGCAATCTGTAAAGTGATAAAATAAATGTATATCACTATTACTATTAATTGCACATCCAAACTCTAGGTTTTGTGGCTTGTTATATAACTGGTTTTCCTCTCAAAGTAAATCTTTAAGGGAAGGATAATTATTTTTCCTTTCTGAAATTTGCTAGACACCTAACAACCTTTTTCATCCCAGTAGCTATGTGTTTTAAAAACGAATAACTACAAAAAACATAAGGGCTGACGAGGCGTGGTGGCTTACACCTGTGATCCTAGCACTCTGGGAGGCCTAGAAGGGAGAACCACTTGAGGTCAGGAATTTGAGACCAGCCTGAGCAAGAGCAAGACCCCATCTCTACTAAAAATTAGCCAGGTGTGGTGGTGTGGGACTACATGTGTAGTCCCAGCTACTCAGGAAGCTGTGGCAGGAGGATTGCTTAAGCCCAGGACTTTGAGGTTGCAGTGAGCTATGATCACACCACTGCATTCTAGCCTGAGCGACAGAGTAGGACTCTGTCTTAAAAAAGAAAAAAGGCTTCAATTGAAAAAAAGCTAGAAAGTATTCTAGACAGTTTACAGGTTTGTAAAATGAACATGCAGTACCAAATACAATAGACTATCTGGCAATTCTTGGCCCAAAAGGTGACATTTTAAAACACCTTAAAAGTACTTATTTATTTTGAATATGAATGTCTTGTACCATATCTTTGTACTGAACAAAGAATTAGGTGGTTGTAGACTGCTGGACAGTCTCATTTTAAGTGCCAGAATCCATATACCCTGACCTATTTCCTAATGTACTTGCTGAAAGAATCTCAATTCTCCATTCCATTCTCTGGTCTTAGAGCCATTACATGATAATGGGCCATATGAAATCATTTCATAAAATTAGTTAATATTATTAATAAAGCTTCATACTCTGAATGTATAATTGTCATTTAAGTTGATTCAACTTAGGAGATGTTATTTCTATGAATAAGACCTTGCTCAGGAATGTGTCACTGTACCATAACATTGTTTTTATAAGAAAACTACCTTTTCCAGAAACTTGACCCACTGTATGCAGTAAACTAAGTTAAGAGATATATATTAAATATATCTTCAGATGCTATGGCTATATTTTTAAACTGCTAAATGACCTTGAAATCTCAATACTGTCAAACTCAAATATTAATAAGCAGTCATGATCTAAAGATACTATATTAAACCAGGGGTCTCCAACTTATGATGACTTATATAATTGCTTCATTATATATTACAATGTAACAGTAATAAAAATAAAGTACACAATAAATGTAACATGCTTAAATAATCTAGAAACCATCCCCCCACCCCACTTGCCAGTCCATGGAAAAATTGTCTTCCATGAAAACAGTCCTTGGTGCCAAAAAGGTCAGGGACTGCTGCATTAAACAGTAAGAATATATTACTACATACATGCTCTTTTTTATGCTTCTCCTGAGATTAGATGAGGTTATGAAAAAAAGACTCCTTCTGAAACATTCAGAAGGCGTTAAAACATCACTGGGAAGCAGAACTGCTAAGAAAACTGTTTTAAGATGCTTTAAATATGCTTCATATATTTAATATATGTCTTACTAGGTGCCCTAAGACAGTGGAAAACTTCTGTGTTCACAGCAGAAATGGTTATTACAATGGGCATACATTTCACCGTATAATTAAGGTAAGTTACACAAATGTCATATTGTTAAAGGAATAGTATGTTATAGCATAACGAGATATTGAAGCCTAAGAAATCTCTTCTCTCACATATATCAGTTTAATTAGAAGGGAAAAGGAAAAGTGGACTATGGAAGCCAAAGAAAGAATGGATGGTCATGAATATCTAGAATCAAGGACAGAAATAGTGGCATGATTATCTTTTTAGAAACAATGCAGTAATACTTTGTCAGCAGCTAAAACAAAGGGTCATGCCAAGATAAAACCAATAACAAGGTAACCTGTTCTTCATGGCTTTTCTATCATAGAGGAGCCAAAGTGCCGTCTTATCTGTGAGAACCAATATTATACCTGAGGAGCAGAGTGAGCTCAGCCCCTGGATTTTGTTAAGCAGCATTCCGTAAAGCAGAAGGGGTAATGATGTAATTCTTTGTTATCGGCAGGTCAGAAATGGCAGAAGGAAAAATCAGATCTCAGAGTTCTAAAGGAATTAGTAAAATGGCACTCCAGGAAATCCAGAGTATTTGGAGGAAGAGGGGAACAGAAGAGGAGGGCAATTATATAAGACAAAAATACTGAACAGATCCAAAAACTTATTTATAGCATTAAGTGGTTTTATTTAGCTTACTGTGAAAGATAGAGCATGTCTACAAATGAGAAGACATTTACATTTTGGTTTCAATCAGTAAATAAGGTGGTGGCTGAGCAATGGAAATATATCATCCAAGTTTAAGTGTGAGGGTTTAATCAAATCACTTTATAGAATGACTGTTAAACAAGTTAATGTTTCATTGAATATAAAGCACTCTTGACAAAAATAACATAACCCCAAAGCATATATATATAGAAAAGTACAGTATAATATGTTTTTGTGTACTTTCTGTTAAGGGCTTCATGATTCAGACAGGAGATCCAACAGGTACTGGTATGGGAGGAGAAAGCATATGGGGAGGAGAATTTGAAGATGAATTTCATTCAACATTACGACATGACAGACCATACACACTCAGCATGGCCAATGCTGGATCAAATACTAATGGATCCCAGTTTTTCATAACAGTAGTACCAACGGTAAGTACATCATTGTCTTCAGACCACAGATTTATAGGTTATGATCTAAGAGAGTGAATTCACTAGAAAAGAGACCTGTATTCTCTATTTCTTGCATTATTTGTATCTGCTAGGATATAAAAATGAAATTTAGAGAAGAAAATGTAAAATTACATAACAAATCAGTTTAGACTTGTAAAACAATACTTTCATTGTAGTAGGAAGTACAATAGACTGTGATTCAAGATACTTGAGTTTCAAGTCTCAGCTCTGCCACTCACTAACTATACAACCGAAAACAAATTATTTCACCTCTCTGGGCCTGTTTCCTCATCCTTAGAATGGAGGGAATAGAATATAAATGAATTCTCAATTTTAAGACCTTTTTTCCACATTATAATATCTCTGAAATCAGAATATAGTTCATAATCAATGGCATTTTAGATTTGATGAAATACAGTGTAAGATCATCTAACTCTATTGCTCTCTAGTTCCACAAAATTATAAAAATTATACACTTTTTTTTGGAATTAAGCACCAAGCAATGAAGGAAAAATATTTATAACTACTATCTGCCAGGCATATAGTCTCATGTAATAGTCACAATACTTCTAGTATCACTATCCCCAGTTTTTAGTAATACATGAGGAAATAAAAGTGAGACATGATTAACTTGCCAAAGATCAAGTAAGTAGCAGAGCCAGCATTTGAATTGCCATCTGTCTAATGCCAAAGCACAATGCACTATTCCAAGCTGCCTCTTAATTGTTCAGGTAAGAAAAGCCTTAGCCACAATTCTTTAAGCCATGTCAAGTAACTTACCTTTAGGAAACATCTTCCAGCTCCCTTGGTCTGAAAGATGTAGATATTTAATTAAACATTATACTATGCTTCTGTATTTTTCATATAAAATGGTAATAGCTTTTAAAAGCTAACTTTTTATTGCTAAGAAATTATTGTACTTCTTTTTTTTATTATTATTTTTTGAGACAGAATCTTGCTTTGTTGCCCAGGCTAGAGTGAGTGCAGTGGCATCAGCCTCACTCACAGCAACCTCAAACTCCTGGGCTCAAGCAGTCCTGCTGCCTCAGCCTCCCGAGTAGCTGGGACTACAGGCATGCGCCACCATGCCTGGCTAATTTTTTCTATATATATTAGTTGGCTAATTAATTTCTTTCTATTTATAGTAGAGATGGGGTCTCGCTCTTGCTCAAGTTGGTTTCGAACTCCTGACCTCAAGCAATCTGCCTGCCTTGTACTTCTTTTTAAATAAATAAAATGAAAAATATAATAAAATGAAAATTTAAATTCTCTTTAATTTGCTCACTCAGAGGGTGTGTGATTTGCTCACTTAGATTTTCCATTTATCCTCCAATACAGCCTTGGCTTGATAATAAGCACACAGTATTTGGACGAGTGACTAAAGGAATGGAAGTTGTACAGAGGATCTCCAATGTAAAAGTCAATCCCAAAACAGATAAGCCCTATGAGGATGTCAGCATCATAAATATTACTGTCAAGTAAAATAAGATTTGTTTCATTGTATTTGTAAATAAAAATGCAATATTAAACACAAGATTATTTTATATTAGGAAGCTTAAGAGTTGCTGAACATATAAATCATGTTTCAAAGATATAATATTTTTATATTTTTCATTAAAGTTCATTTTTTAAAAACTGTCTGATTTTTCTTACAATATTTCTAATCTTGGGAGGTGATAAATGGAAAGGGACTACATTCAGGCAAATAGCACTCATTAAAGGTAATTTCTCATGAGCAATTAAGTATTAAATATTTAATAATTATAGTAGTCCCCCCTCATCCACAGTTCTGCTTTCTGCAGTCAACCACAGTTTGAAAATAGGGTAGTACAGTACAATAAAAAATTTAGAAAGAGAGAGTGAGACCATATTCACATAACACTTACTACAGTATACTGTTATACTGTAACATTTATTACAGTATACTGTTATAATTGTTCCTTTTTTATTGTTAATCTATTATAATACCTAATTTATAAACTTTATGACAGGTATATAAGTATAGGAAAAAACAGTATATATAGCGTTCAGTTCTATCTGAGGTTTTAGGCAGCCACTGGGATTCTTAGACCCCTGTGGATAAGGGGGAACGACTCGATTAAATAGTGAGAATGGTATGTATTTGTTCTTTCTTAAAAACATGCCAGATATTCTGCCCTTACATGTGTAAAAGAGGGCAGATCCCTCCTTTAAGTAAAAAAAAAATACCAGGATCTGATATTATATACCATTTCAAATAAAAAATACCATGTTTTTGTTTCTTGCCAAATATTTTTTTGTCTTTTGATCACTGTAAAGTAGTAACGAGTAAAGTTTCAATAAATAAATAGGAAGTCCCATTGGCCAAAAGTGTTATATTCATAATAATTATGAAATATTCTTTCAAATACAAGAATCAGAATAAATGAATACCTGAATGTTTGGTTTTATATGTAAGTTCTTTTTCACATTCTCTTCTGTTGTAGCTAAGCAATTTTTTCTGTCTTCAAGTTACAGTATTTCTTACTTTAATATTCTATCAAGAAGCACACATAAAAATATTGGTATCTAATAATGGAGATATTAGTAGAAAATGGAGCAGTAAGACAATATGAACTTGAAGTCTTGATTTCTTCTTCACTTACCCTTATTTATAACTTAACAACTATTAAGAACCCCTGCTTCTATTTTCCAGACAAACTTTTCCAGAAACTTATAGGAGGAACATGCTCAACAGACCTGTTTAAAGGAATTCATATTTTAAGCTTTAAATCTAAACCTATACTTTTCCTTCTATTCATCAGCAGTATTACGTCCTTTACCACAAAGGATGTGAAATATGCCAAACGGTGCTACTTTAAACTAATGTATTCTCCTTTTTCAAAGTACTTAAAATTGGACATAAAATGACTTTTCATTGTGACATTTACCTTTCTTCCTAATTTTAAGTGTTTAGACTTACCTACCTAACTTCAGTCACTCCTAAAAGCTTAATCTAAATTTTTGGTAATACTGCCACCAAGTGGTGATGATACCTCATTACTCCCTAAAATACACAGTGAAAATCATATTTGACGAATGAATTTTTCCATTCATCAAAAACTTAACATAATTGGCAGACCTAAAAACATACATTGCTATTTTTTTAAAGCATGTTTTAAGTTATCAAGATAAAATCTCACACTTATTCATTAGTCCTTTTTATTCTTTTAGGGACGAGTATAACAATGTTTTTCTCTGTTATCACTTTGCAAATTGAGAAGTATCCCAATGTTACATAGAAAGCCTTTCTCTTACCAATGTTAGTTCGTAAGTTACAGCTAAGTTTTCTGAGCCATTTTCTAATCAGTCATTTAAAATTCTATGTTCTCTTATGATACAAGGTTAAATTTAAAATTTAAGAAGCAATAAAAAATAAAGTTTCACTTTGTTCAATGCAAAGTTTTAGCTTTTTTTTTTTTTGAGATAGTCTCACTCTGTTGCCCAGGCTAGAGTGCCATAGTGTCAGCCTAGCTCACACCAACCTCAAACTCCTGGGCTCCAACAATCCTGCCTCAATCTCCCTAGTAGCTGGGACTACAGGCATCTCACTCTTGCTCAGGCTGGTTTCAAACTCCTGATCTTGAGCAACCCTCCTGCCTCAACCTCCCAGAGTGTTAGAATTACAGGTGTGAGCCACCGCGCCAGCCCTAGCTCCCTTTTCAAAACACTACAGTTGTATCACTTATTTAAATGTGACCTACACTGCAAATACAGAATAAGTTATTCTAAATTTTTGCTTTGTCAAACATCTTAAATTTGACAGGCAAGTCAATCACGACCCATTTTGTTTCATTGTATCTCTTAACCACAGCACAAATAATGACATTTTAAATTGGTTACTAGCAATAATACTATATAGATGGTTCAAGAAACAGACTTTTTAGAATAATGTACCTTTTAAAAAATGATTTTAATGCTTTATTGCTGTCTATACTGATCATGTATGTAGTGCAAATAATGGCTTCTGGTGGTTATAAAGCATTCTTGAATTATAGACCAGGGCTATACATTTGACAAACTTGCTTTACATAAATCATACAATAATATTTAAATTTAGTACAGAAATTCAGAGCTAAGAGGCAAGTCCTGCTATATTGTATTTAAAACATCTCTCTCATTCTTAAGTTTGACATTTCCTAAAAAATGTCACATTCTTAACTTATAATTAGTGAAAGAATACAACCACAACTAATTAATAGGAGCCTAAGAAAAATATTTCTTAAAAAAAAAATCACATACACATATACTACTGTTATATATACATTATAATCAGGTATAAACACAGTTTTTAAATTGTGTTCAGTTATATGCTAAGGTTATGAATGTAAAAGCGTAGCACTATTGATAAAATAAACAATAACTTACAAGGGAAGCAAGTTCACGTTAGTATTACATTTTTTTTTCAATTACCTAGTAGAGAACACAGTTCAAGGGCTCACAGCAAATGTAACACCTTTTTTATTTTTCACAGTTACTAAAATCAGTCAAATATTAAATAATTTAATTCAGAAGTATTACTTATGCACACAAGCTACACTTGTTACAGCATGACCTTTTACTTGAAAAATAAAGGATAAAATATTATATTTACTTATTTACATGTTGCCCATAACACTGATGGGCTGTTTTTAATGCTTTGTTTTCTAAAAGTTTTATTGTTTCTAAACAAAAATACATTTGAAAAGACTAAACCAAAACAGTACCACCTAAAATCATATCTTGTTATCAGACATCATTGACCTTACAACAATTCAACTAATAAGATTTAAGACTGAACCTCATCTTAAAGTATGTGAGAACATTTTAAAAACCACAAAATTTCAATCTAGCCATTTAAATATAATAAATCGTGCTTCCATAGTAAGAGTATATCCTTTAAAAATGAAAAACAGTAAAGAGCACAAAATTTTTATATACTCACAACACTGAATAATAAATGTAATGTAAACTTTTTAAATATTCCTTTGCCTTAGATATATTTTTCCTCTTAAATAACTTTTCAAGGCCTTATCATTAAGAGCCTTCATTATGTTCTCTTGTCAACATAAATGCACTTATTATGGGAAAGTAATAAGCATTCCCAACTGTTTTAATGACTTCTCTTAAAGTAAAGTTAGTTTTCATTTTAGGTCTATACCTTTTATGTAAAGCTCACCCTGGTTCTCTGTAACTTTCTACATTTTACCCATAGTCATACTCACAAAGGATGCAATATTATTTTAGAAAGAAACACTACCAAGTTCTTGAAATATGTTGAAAATAAAAGGATCAATTTAGACTTCTTACCTAGGAAATAATACATAAGCCTAGGTATTATGTAAGACTAATGGGTTTTTCATAAGTGAAGATCAAATAACTTTCACAGTTTTATTATTAATTGTTCTTCAGTTTATTACTAATCTGACAATCAGGCCCAGTTAGATAACATTTCATTGTGTCTCACTGTGTATTATACAAAATGCTTTAGGAGAAAGTTTTAATAAAACACTATATAAAATATTAATTTTCCATAGCTTATAGTTCTTAGCATTTAAGGTGTTCTATTATACTGAACATAAAAGTAAAGTAATCCTATTACCCAAAGATGTAGTTTGGATTCTATTTCATTAAGCAACTGTCATTTCTACTACTACATACTGCCAAAATTCAGTGAAAAGGGCAGGGTAAAGAAGCAGCTATACCTCCCCCCTTGCTTCACACAGAGGCTTCCTTAGGCACTCAGTTGGCTATTCTTTTTTCACTGAAAGAATAAACCTTCACTTACCCTTTCTCTGTGACTACTTTCCCAATATCTGAGTCACATATAATCTGAAAAACTTAAATAGCAAATGTACTTTTTAAAAGAATGTATATTCAAGAAATCTCTAAATAATCCAATCTAATCTGCTCAGATATTTAAATTTTCCTACAAAATAATTTGAAAGCAATAATGTACTGAATTCCCAATCCAAGATTTCTTTTATTCTGTGCTAATAGTACAAGGGAAAAAAAAATAAAAAAAAAAAAAAAAGATTTCTTTTATATATGCATCCTAAATTACCATCTTTGAGATATAGAATTTCTTATATGTTATTGTGCAAAATAACTCTTAACCACAAAACTCTAAACAACTGCTGCATTTAAAATCAAGCAACATCCAATACTCCAGCAGCCACGAGTTGCCGTGAGAGCCAGTCCAACCCTTCGTACAGTCCCATACCACTTCGAGCATCACAGCCCTGAATATACCAGCTACGGCCACAGCATAGTTTATGGAGACTGAGAAGTTCAGTGATTTCTTCTACTGACAGTGCTCCAGCAACATCCTGAAAGATATATATACACACAATTTTTTAAATCAGTCTATCCAAATTATCATTTTTCTAATTATTATTTATGGATATCTGTTGATAATTCTAACCAACACCTAAACAAAGGTTAAAACCTAGATTCATCTTTCAATAATTATTATGACACTAATAAGAAAAGAAAAAAGGAGTTTTTAGTTAAAGTGATTTGTATATGTCTATGTATGTATTTTTTGCAAGGGTAGCCTTACAATAAAATCAATAAAAACCATGTAACCTGAATGAAAGACACTGCCTAAGTCATTAAAAGGCATCAACTTTAAAAAAAAAAAAAAAAAGAAAGAAAGAAAAAGAAGGAATTAAGACATGTATACCATAAAAAAATGGTTTATATACAGGGTTTACATAATGAAGAGTTCATTACATTCCCACTTTGAACACCTCTTACCCTGACTTCCCAGGAGCAACTACCAGTAACCATTTCTTACAAATTTTTCCAGAAAATTTCCATGCACACCCATGCAAATAAGCACAAACAAAAACATACTTTAGGCTTTCTATATCTTGCAGGGTTTTTTTTAACTTAAACATGTTGAATATAGATATTATTCCATTCTCTGTATAAGCAAATTTTCCACAGTTTTAACATCAGAATTGCATTCCATTGTATGTATGCAACATAATTTATTTAACCAGTTCTATACTGTATTCAAATTGAAGTCATATTCTTATGTGCTATTATTAATACAAATCCATATATATACACACACATATATAGGTCTACATACATCTGCAAAATTATTTGTAGGATAACCTTTCGATATTTTCTATAGGATATATTACTAGAGGTAGACTTGCAGGGTAAAGGGTATATGCATCTAAAACTTTGACAAATATTGCCAAATTGCCCTCCAATAAAATGTCTCAGTTTAAACTTTTTTTTTTTCCGAGACAGAGTCTTGCTCTGTTGCCCAGGCTAGAGTGCCATGGCATCAGCCTAGCTCACAGAAACTTCAAACTCCTGGACTCAAGCAACCCTTCTGCCTCAGCCTCCCAAGTAGCTCAGACTACAGTCATGTGACACCATGCCTGGCTAATTTTTTCTATGTAGATATTTAGGGGTCCAGCTAATTTCTTTCCATTTTTAGTAGAGACAGGGTCTCACTCTTGCGCAGGCTGGTTTCGAACTCCTGACCTTGAGTGATCCACCCGCCTTGGCCTTCCAGAGTGCTAGGATTACAGGCATGAGCCACCTCACCCAGACCCAAAGTTTTCAACCCATAATTTCAACTCTTATCATAATTTCAACTCAAATCCTACATTTTACAAATCTTACAAGATGCCATCTTTAGAACTACTCTCTCTCCTGATTCCTCATTAACACTTTTAATATTATTGAAGTTACTTACCAGTTTTCTTTGTATTTGAATCACACACATGTGTTCATGTATATACACAGGAGTTTCTTGTTAGCATAAACTACCTTAATTCTTTTTTGAACACTCCAAGGTACCCAGCATAGCACTTTTCACCTAGATTGTGCTACTGTACATAGCAGAAACTTTGTAAAATATCTGTTGAATTAATTCTCTTTTGAAATTTTTCCAGCTGCTTTATGACATAGAATACAAAATTACTCAAGTAATATATAAAAATGTATTACCTGTTTGTTGGCAAAAATCAGGAGCAAAGCATCTCGGAGTTCTTTTTCTATTAACAACTTTGCAAGTTCACTGTGTGCTTCACTAATTCTGTCTCTATGACTGCTATCAACAACAAACACAACAGCTACCAAAAAAAAATCCCACAAAAGTATTCAATTAGTCACTTATTAAGTTTCAGTAACTGGACCAAATATTTAATGCTCTCATTATCGTATTTTGGTTAGAGTTTTGTCTACCATCGGTATTTTGACATAAAAGTTACCTATTATGGTAGGAGTACCTACAAATAATTAACAGTATGATCTCAAGTCGTTCACATAACTTCTCAAGCTTAGTTTCCCCATCTATGACAGGATTTACAACACATGCTCTATCAAACACAAATTGCTCTATATATCAATTGATCAATTGATATTTTTCACATAATAAATGAAAATGTGCCTCATGATCTTCTACCTCCTGATGTTACTTGTTCTTTGAATGCTATGTCCTTTACCAAAAGATAGTCTTTTAAGAATAAAAACATCACCATCTTTGTCTCTACAAAGTATTCTCTCTAGGTTAAACATCCCCAGATTTTCAACCATTCCTCATATTCAAAATTCCATTTTTGTCTTAATTATGGCTATTAAACTTAATATCAAAAATCTCAAGTAAACATAATTATCTAGTCTCTCATCTTGGTAGAAAGCAGGATGACATATGGAACATGTGGCATGAACATAAACATCACGTTGGAGTGTAGAAGGCAAAGTGTTGAATGGGGCCGGCCGCGGTGGCTCACGCCTGTAATCCTAGCACTCTGGGAGGCAGAGGCGGGAGGACTGCTCGAGGTCAGGAGTTCGAAACCAGCCTGAGCAAGAGCGAGACCCCGTCTCTACTATAAATAGAAAGAAATTAATTGGCCAAGTAATATGTATATAGAAAAAATTAGCTGGGCACGGTGGCGCATGCCTGTAGTCCCAGCTACTTGGGAGGCTGAGGCAGGAGGATCACTTGAGCCAGGAGATTGAGGTTGCTGTGAGCTAGGCTGACACCACAGCACTCACTCTAGCCTGGGCAACAAAGTGAGAAAAAAAAAAAAAAAAGTGTAGAATGGGGCCCAAGTATGAATAAAAGCTAGGTGGAGTATATTATACAGTTTGGACAAAAGAAAGCCACTTTAAGTTCTTCAGCACATAACAACTATTTGTGAATGGATATGAGGGAGTGAGGTTATTGAGAGATTATAATGAGATAAATGTTAAATTGAACAACAGAACCATATATCACAAATTCAACTCTATACTACCATATCATGATCACATCCATATGAATACAGATATATTAACTGATAAAAGCAGCAAGAGGTAAGTATTTTTAACTGCCTATATAACTAAGTATGGTTTTTATTCTATAATAAGGGTTTATCATGAACAAACCAAAAGTACATATCTCAGTCTTTCTACCTACACTTTTTTAAAAATAAGGGACTGCCCACTGATACTTAAATGTATAGTCAAGTATTTATTCATAAACACCAGCTTTGCTAGTTAAATCAGTGTACTGAAAACTGTTATCCTAAAACAAAAAATTAAGATGTCATTTTTAACTCTTACCTTGGGTATTGAGGTAATAGTGTTTCCACAATGGTCTTAATTTGTGTTTTCCACCTACGTCCCAAATAGTGAATTTCAGATTTTTATATTCTACAGTTTCCACATTAAAACCTGTTTTTTAAAAAAATTACTTTTATACTATATTTATAACAAATGACACATCAAACACAGGCTGTTTTATAATTATGACTTACGAATTATCAACATGCAACAACATCTACTGAAGTCAAATCAACTCCAATCCTAATCCTACATAGGGAATATACACCTTTAACAGCTGCCAGCCCTCCAGACCTTCACCAGGGTCCTTAGGAACTTGGAATCCATGTACATGCCAGCTCTGCTCCACTACTATTCCCTCACTCCTAACCTTAACCAGGGTCATCAATCCTCCATTCCTGCCAACTGTCCCATCAAGAGTTTATACCTTATCATGCCACCGTCTACATTTCAATCCCATAGCCACTGAATCTTACATTGTTTCTCTGAAATGTTGGTGTCTTAGAGCCAGAAAAGAGCTCTCACTATCATGACAGATTAATATCAATTAAGGCCCTGAGAACTCAGCTGTAAGGTGGGTTTGTCCATAAAATGTCCATTAAGTTAAAAAGCAATACTCATACTTACCAATTGTTGGAATGGGCTGCATGAACTCATCCTGTTTCAACTTAAACAAAATAGTAGTTTTTCCAGCACTGTCTAATCCTAATGTAACAACTCGTATTTCCATTTTTGGTCCAATGTGAACTCTATTGTCCTAGAATTTAAAAATTTTTAAATGTTTTTACTTGATATGGAATTAGAAAATAACAGCATTTATACTTTTCTCTTTATAAATAAAGCACCTTTGCTAATTATTTTTATGTCTCCTATTCATTCCTAGACCCACTGCAATCTGAATTGTATTCTTCAAAATCTGAATCTGATCTTCTCTAGGAGATGAATTCTTCCTCATGGCTAAATCTTTCATTAGTAAAACTGACCATTTTGTCTTTGTATAAATACAATATGCTCACTTAATTTTTCCTGATTTTCTAACTCAACTGAATCTTCTTTATTTTTTTTTATTTTTATTTTTATTTTTATTTATTTATTTTTTTTTTTTTGAGACAGAGTCTCACTTTGTTGCCCAGGCTAGAGTGAGTGCCGTGGCGTCAGCCTAGCTCACAGCAACCTCAAACTCCTGGGCTCCAGCGATCCTTCTGTCTCAGCCTCCCAGAGAGCTAGGATTACAGGCGTGAGCCACCGCGCCCGGCCTAGATATGCTTTTTTTAAAAACTTAAAAAAAGAAAAAAAATCCTATACACCCAGACAATGCAACTAATGTTTTTCATTCAACAGTATATGATGGAATCCTTTCAATCCATATGGATCAACCTTTTTCTTTTAGTGGTTTCATTATATTCCATAAACTACAATTTAACCAATCCCCAAATGATAGATTTTTAGGTCATTTCTGATTTTATATTACAAATAATGCTGTAATGAACATACTTGTACATATTATAACTATGACCTCTCTGCCTTACTGCTCTCATCTCATAAGAAAGAGGATAAAAATTGTACCAAATTCACACAGGATTCTTGTGAAGGATTAACTTTTAAAAATACACATAAAAGTCCTTACAAATGTTCCTGGCATATGAGTGTTATTTTGCTTACTCCTTTGAACACTCTGATCTTAGCTTGAATGATAAAAAATTTTCTTAGTTGTTATTCTTGACAGTCTGTATGATGCTCCCTTCCCATTCCACATATTTTCACTTACTCCGTGAGCTTCAATTACCATTTACATGTTGGCTCCCTAACCTACACTCAAGTCCAGTCCTAAGCCTCAGAAATAAAACAACATATGAACCAGAATAACTTTATGAGAACTCTAGAGACCAGTTGAGAAGTTATAGCACCCAGGCCAATATAAAACCAAGTAGAGATTCCAATGTAAATGATAATAAAATTTAGGGCATTCTGTGCATTCATCCCTGCCCTTCCCCCTATCTGCCACAGCAAGGTATAACCAGAAGGATACTACAGAATATTAGCAAGCCAAATTCAACAACACATTAAAAGGATTATATACACCATGGCCAAATGGGATTTATACCCAGAAGGCAAAGAATGTTCAATATCAATCAATGTAATACATGGAATGAGAGAAAAACCACATAATCATCTCAACTGATACAGAAAAAGCATTTGACAAGATTCAATACCCTTTCATACTAAAAACACTCAACAAACTAGGAATATAAGGAAACTACCTCAACATAATATAGACCAGGGGTCCCCAACTTATGGTGAGTTGTATAATTATTTCATTCTATATTACAATGTAGTGATAATAGAAATAAAGTACACAATAAATGTATTGTGCTTGAATCATCCTGAAACCACCCCCCACCTCCCCAGTCCATGGAAAAATTGTCTTCCTTAAAAATGGTCCCTGGTGCCAAAAAGGTTTGGGACCTCTGATATAGACCATGAAATGCCCACAGTTGACATCATACCCAATGATAAAAACTGAAAGCTTTTCCTCTAAGATAAGGAAAAAGAAAAGGATGCCCACTCTGACCATCCTATTCAACATAGTATTGGAAGTTATAGCCAGAGCAATCAGGAAAGGAAAAAAAAAAGGATCCAAATTGGAAACCACTATGGAAATTATGGAAAGGAAGATGTAAAATTATCTCTCTTCACAGATGATATGATATTATATGCAGAAAATCCTAAAGATACCAAACACACACACAAAAAAACAGTTAGAACTAATAAAAATGAATTCACCAAACTTTCAGGACATAAAATCAATACACATAAACCAGTTGCATTTCTATACACTGAAAATGAACAGTTCAAAAAGGAAATCAAGAAAACAATTGTATTTACAATAGTATAAAAAAAGAATGAAATATTTAGCAGTAAACTTAACTAAAGAAATGAAAGAATTGTGCACTGAAAACTATAAAACATGCTAAATTCTAAAAAACACAATAAACAGAAAGACACTCCACGTTCATGTATTGAAAGATAATATTGTTAAGATGTCAAAACTATAGCAAACTATAGATTCAGTGCAATTCCTATAAAAATCCCAATGACATTTTTTGCAGAAATAGAAAAAAAAGATCCTAAAATTCATGTGGACTCTCCAGTGATTGTAAATAGCCAAAACAATTTTGAAAAAGAACAAAGTTGGAGGACTCATACTTCCTCACTTCAAAATATATTACAAAGCTACAGTAATAGAAAACTTTGTGGTACTGGCATAAAGACATATAAACCAATAGAACAGAATAGAGAGCCCAGAAATAAACCCTCACACATATGGTCAAATGATCTTTAACAAGAGTGCCAAGACCACTCAATGAAGATAAGACAACCTCTTCAACTAATGATGCTGGGAAAACTGGACAGCCACATGCAAAAGAATGAAGGTGGGCCCTTATCTTATACCACATACAAAAATTAACCCAAAATGGATTAAAGCTGTAAACTTAAGACCCAAAACTATAAAACTCCTAGAAGAAAACAAAAGGGAAAAACTTTATGACATTGGATTTGACAGTTATTTCCTGGATATGATACTACCACAAGCATAGGCGATAAAAGCAGAAAGAGACAAATGAGACTATCTCAAACTTAATCCTTTTGTGAATCAAAGGATGCAATCAAGAAAGTAAAAAAACAATGTACGGAATGGGAGAAAATATTTGCAAATCATAAATGTGACAGGGAATTAATATCTAGAATATATCAAGAACTCCTACAATTCAACAACAAAAAATCAAATAACTCAAATCAAAAAGTGGGCAAAGTACCTGAATAGACATATTCAAGACAATATACAAAATAGCCAACAAGCATACGTAAAGATGCTCAACATCACTAATCATCAGAAAAATGCAAATCAAAACCAAAATAAGGTATCGCCTCACACTAATTAAGATGGCCATTGTCCAAAAACAAAGAAAATAACAAGTGTTGGTAAAATGTGGAGAAATCGAACCCTAGGGCACCAATGGTAGAACTGTAATATGCTCTAACCACTATGGAAAATAATACGGTAGTTTCTCAAAAAATTAAAATTATAAAAAAAAAAAAATTAAAATTAGAACTGCTATACAATCCCCAATTTCCCTTCTGGATATATATCCAAAAGAGCTGAAAGCAGGGTCTCAAAGAGATATTTGTACATTCGTGTTCACAGCAGCACAATTCACAGTAACCAAGAGATAGAACCAGCCTAAGTTTCCATTGACAGATGAACAAATAAACAAAATGTGGTACATACATACAATGAAATATTATTCAGTGTTAAAATGGAAAGATCCTCTCACATGCTACAACATGGATAAACTTTAAAGACATTATGCTAATTTTGCCACAAAAAACAAATACTGTATGATTCTACTTATATGAGGTGTCTACACTAATTAAAGTCACAGAAACAGAAAGTAGAATGGTGGTTACCAGGAGCTAAGGAGAGAGAGAGAAAGGAGAATTATTGTTTAAAGGATACAGAGTCTCAGTTTTACAAGATAAAAAATCTGGAGATCTGTTTCACAACAATATGAATACTGTGTGTAGTACTGAACTCTACACTTAAAAATGGTTACAATGATAAATTTTATATTGTGTGTTTTCCATCAAAATAAAAAAATTGTGGTATATCCTTGCAGCTGTAAAAATGAACAAAAAATGTCACTTTATACTGCTATGTTGTGGTCTTTAGGATATACAGTTAAGTAAAAACAGCAAGGAAGAAAAAAAGTGAAAGATAGTCTACCTTTAACTGCAGGGAGTGTGCATACAAATATATAAACATATTTCTATTTTTTTAAGTGATGCATAAAACTAAGAAAAAATTCTAAATAGTTTTCTATGGAGAACAAAGTAAAAATATTTCACATAATTATTAAACAAAATTTTTTAAAGCCCTTAAAAATAGAAAGTTTAAAAAGGCAGAAACATGAACCTTTCTAAATCAGGGGGTACTCAGTTTAAAAAAGATAAACATATCAACCAAATCCCAAGTATGGGCCTTGTTTGGGTTCTGTCTTAAAAAAATTGTGGAAACAATCTGAATACTAACTCAATAGTTGATATTAGTGAAAATATTAGAGATTAATTAGATTAATTATTAAACTTTTTGAGTTTTGGGGTTTTTTTTTTTGGTTTTTTGTTTTTGTTTTTTGAGACAGGGTCTCACTAGGTTACCGAGGTTGGTCTTGAACTCCTAGATTCAAGTGACCCTTCCACCTTAGCCTCCCAAGCAGCTGGGACTAGAAGTGAGCTACCACACCTGGCGATTGTTTTTTTAAAAAGGGTCCTTATCTTTTGGAGATTTACACTAAAAATGTCATTGATGAAATGATATGATATTGGGAGGAAATGATTATGACGTTAGGATTTGCTTCAAACTACCCTGGGGGACTTGCAGGTAGGAGGAGGAATGGAGAAAATGGATATGAAATAAGAAGTTTACAATTGTTAAAGTGGGTGATGGGTACATGAAAATTCACTATGTCATTCTTCCTATTTTCCACTGGATAAATGTTTTTCTTAAAAATCCTATAATTCATGAATTTCATGGTTGTTTCTTCAAGCTAATTATCGTGAAATGAAAATCAATCATGATTTGTCAGAAAACATATCTAAAAATAAAGTATAGTACATTACCTTCGTAAAAGTGACAGGGATGCTGGCATCCAACTGAATGTGATCTGCAACCTCTGTAAACTGCTGCTGCTGTTTCTGCAATGTTTCCAGTAACCTTGTAATTTCTTGTTTTGCCAAGACAACTCTACAATCATCCTAGAAAAGGGAAAATAGTATTTCTTGTAAACTTTTTGTTAAAGAAATAAAGGAAAGAGGCCAGGCGCAGTGGCTCACACCTATTGACCCTAGAACTTTGGGCTGCCAAGGCAGGAGGACCGCTTGAGGCCAGGAGTTGAAGACTAGCCTGGGCAACATAGCAAGACCCTGTCTCTACAAAAAGTAATTTTTAAAAAAATGAGCTGGGTGTGGTGGCACACGCCTATAGCCCCAGCTATTTAGGAGGCTGAGGTAGGAGGACTGCTTGAGGCCAAGAGTTTGAGGTTGCAGTGAACTATGATGACACCACTGCACTCCAGTCTAGGCAACAGAGCAAGATCCTGTCTCAAAGAAGAGGAGAGGAGAGAGGAGGGCGAGAGGAGGAGGGGAAGAGAGGAGAAAGAAAATAGATACATAGACAACTCACAATAAAAGCCCTTTTATCATCACAGTATTCAAAGTTAACTTAAATGTAATTTTGTCTAGGATAATAATAATTGGACATTAATAATTTATTAGTATAACCTCTATGGAAATCAGTACAGAGATTTCTCAAAGAACTAAAAGTAGATCTACCATTTGATCCTGCAATCCCACTACTGGGTATCTATCAAAAGGAAAAAAGGGGGTAGGTCTGGTGGTGCATGCCTGTAGTCCCAGCACTTTGGGAGGCTGAGGCAGAAGGATCACTTAAGGCCAGGAGATTGAGACCAGCCCGGGCAACATAGCAAGACTTTGTTTTTACAAAAAATAAAAAAATTAGCTGGGCATGGTAGCATGCACCTGAAGTCCCAGCTACTTAGGAGGCTGAGGCGGGAGGATCATTTGAGCCCAGGAGCTCAAGGCTGCATGGTGCTATGATCATGCCTGGGTGACAGAGTGAGATCTTGTCTCTAAAAAATAAAGAGAAAGAAAAGGAAAGCAAGTATTATATCACAAAGATATCTGCACTCATGTTTATTGCAGCATAAAATAATTCACAATCACAAAGATGGAATCAACCCTTGTGCCCATCCAATGATTGGATAAAGAAAATCTGGTATACATATACCATGGAGTACTACTCAGCGATTAGAATGAAATAATACCTTTTGCAGCAACTTGGATTGAACTGGGGCAGGAGGGTGTTATCCTAAATGAAATAATTCAGAAACAAAAAAATAAATGCTGCATGTTCTCACTTATAAGTGGGAGCTAAACTATGGCTACATGAGGACATACACAGTGGTATAATGGACAATGGAGACTCAAGAGTGGGCAGGGCAAGACGGGACGAAGATGAAAAATTACCTATGGGGTACAATGTATATTATTAGGGTGATGGGTATAATAAAAGCCCAGACTTCACCACTATACAATTAATAAATAAATAAACTTAAAAAACAACCTGTTCTGAGAGGGAAAAAGAATTCATTCATGATGTTGCATGCAAAAAGAAAATAATAATTTAAGAGCCTATCAACCAAAGAATGGATAAATTGCAGTATATTGATAAATGGAACACTATATCACAATGAGAACAAACCACAACTACATATGATGATACAGATTTCACAAACATAATGTAGAGTAAAAGAAGACATGGCATGGAGAATTCCTACTGTATGATGTCATTTATATTAATTACCAAAATAACAAAGGTATGCATTAGAAGTCAGTATAGTGGTTTACCCTGGGAGAAAGGCAGGCAGTTACCAGAAAGAAGTATGAGAGGACTTCTGGAGTACTGACAATGTTGTGTTACTTCATCTGCATACTGGTTACACACTAATGATCAGTTTGAAAATTCAACCAGCTGAACAGTTATGCACACATTTCTGTACATATGTTCTACTTCTAGAAAATGTTCAAAAATAATTTAAGATACACATATATTGGCTTTAAAAAAAAGGACAAAGGTAAAACTGAAAAGTCTGCCTCTCACTCTAGATCTCCAGGCCCTCCCCTCAAAGTCAAGAACTTTCCACATTCTTGAATATTATTCCAAAATACTCTACACATAACCAATACAGTCTTTATATGAAAGAGATCTCCTAGTAATATGTAAGCTCCATGAGAGCAGTAGTACTATCTGTTTTTGCTCTCTGTTGGATACTCAAATTAGTTGCCAGCAATTCCAATGTTCCAGTTGCTCAGAACCAAAACCTTGAAGTCATTCTTGTTTTCTCTCTCCTTCATGTCCTACATACAATCTGCCAAGAAACACTACTGAATATTTAGAACAGGTGTCCTCAAACTATGGCTTCAGGCCGCCTATTTATCTGGCCCTCCGGGTGTTTTTGTCACTGCTGCCTGTCCTACTAAGTAGCTGACTTGTCCTGGGCCCACAGTGTGCACTCTTCAATGGTCTGAGGGACAGTGAACTGGCCCCGTTTAAAAAGTTTGAGGACCCCTAATCTAGAATCTGGGCACTTCTAACCCCCATTATACAAGCCATTATTATTAATATCTCTCACCTGGAATTCTACAACAGCCACCTAACTGTTGAACTCCTTTTCATGTTTGCCCTCCTTTCATCCATTTTATATACATCAGCCAGAATAATACTTTTAATAAGATCAAATCACTCTTGTACTGAAAACTCCACCATGGTCCCCCTATCTCAATCAATAAAAGTTGAAGTCCACACAGGGTATTCCTTACATCAAATTCCCTATTACCTCTGACTTCAGTTCTTATTACTCCCTCCTTCACTTACTCTAACTCCGTCTACAGAGGTCTTTAGTGCTGTTTTTTGAACATACTAGGCATGCTGCCCTAGGGTTTTTGCTCTAGCCATTTCCTCAAGTAGAATGTTCTTTCCCCAATTAGGGCTTGAATTCCTTCACTTTCTTCCCCTTTGAGTCTTTGCTCAAATCTCACTTTTTCTCTATAATGCTTACCCTATTTAATAAGGTAATCTGCCATACAAACACAAACATGTGATTTGTAGAGTTCTTTTTTCCTTAGCTCTTATCACTTCCTAACATATAAATTACTTATTTAGATACAGTTATGATTTATTGCCTGTTTTCTCCTTGCTAGAATGGCAATTCCACAAGATTATGGCTTTTGCTTATTTTGTTCACTAATATACTCTAAATACTTAAAATATACATAGCAGTATTAGGTACTCAAAAGATATTTGCTAAATAAATAAACAAATACTCAGCATCTGGAATAATGCCTATAACTCAGATAATACATAATTTCTTTGAAGGGGAGGATGGTTAAGTTTTGTTCTCAAAAGTGAAAATAAATTTGTGATGTTCCATCTATTCCTCTGTCAATTTTCTCTGTGGTGGGAACTTTTAAGAACATTGGTTAAGATTCTGGGGCCATAAAACAGAAGAAAACTAATAGGTCCATATGAAAAATGAATACAAGACCCCTATATCTTTTGTATTAACACAGTGAAATAATACCATATCATTAACAATTACATGATGCTTTAGAAATTCTAAAACATTTTTAAAAATTTAAGTAACTGTAGATATACTTTTTCATAAAATAAATATGAAAATACTTTTAAGTATTCAAGTAAATATGATTTAGGACATGATTCTATTCTGACTTTGCTAGTAACTTGATTATCCACCATGAGTTGAACAAGTTTTTATTAAGCTCTATCTAGACACAAAGAATTTAGAGACACAAAGATAAACAATAAATATGTATCTGGTCAGCATGTAAAAGGACTAATAGGCATACTGTATGATTCAAGGTCCAATCAGAAGACACAAATCACACCAGTTATTTGAACAGAAAGAACTTAATATAAAAAACTGTTAACTAGGTATAGTTATTAACTAGGTAACTCAAAGAGTAAAAAGAACTCTGAGGTATCATGGAGATAGAAACTGTAGGAAATAGCCCCCACTTCCAGGGCTAAATTATATCCTTAAGGGAAGAGGTTAAAATTACTAAAACTTAGAAACTTGCAGGAGGGGCCCCATGGAGCTAAACTCATACCTCCAATGAAGGTAACCCTCCTCACAAGAGGAGTGCATTCACAAGAATGCCAAGCAAACAAGAACCCATGGAAGCCACTTCCCACCATCCAGTCTCCCTTCAGTGCCCCTTCTTAATGTGCCTTAATGGAGCCAGGTGGCAACATGGATGTGTGGTTTGTAGAGTTATAGCCCCAGCATCACAAAGCAGAGGACAGAAGAGTAGGATTGGAGCTGAAAAACAACTTAATAAATGGCATACACATCAACTGTTACAATTCAATATAATAAGGACCAAATGATAACTCAAGACTGATAAGGATATAGGCTGGCCACACTCATATAAAAGAAAAAGCTCTACAACGGTAAAAGGTTTAGCCTACAGTGATTTGAAACCACACAATTATTAGCAGTGTATCAATAAAGATAGACTGAAATTTTTCTGAAATTCTTAGGGCAGCAATTATCCTTATATCTCCCACTTATAAAAGCAGATCCAAAATAGAAATGTGGGGCCAGGCGTGGTGGCTCATGCCTGTAATCCTAGCACTCTGGAAGGCCAAGGCGGGCAGATCTCTTGAGGTCAGGAGTTTGAGACCAGCCTCACCAAGAGCAAGAGACCCTGTCTCCACTAAAAGTAGAAAGAAATGAGCCAGGCAACTTAAAATTAAAAAAATTAGCCGGGCATGGTGGCACAGATCTGTAGTCCCAGCTACTTGGGAGGCTGAGGCAGGAGAATGGCTTGAGCCCAGGAGTTTGAGGTTGCAGTGAGCTAGGCTAATGCAGGCACTCTAGCTGGGGCAATAGAGTGAGACTCTGTCTCAAAAACAAAACAAAAACAAACAAACAAACAAACAAAATATATATATATATAAGACTAACAGTTTTGTTACAATAATCTTGTATCTCACTTATTAAAAAGTAAATAATCTGCAAACTGGGTAATGAACTGCTTATGATATCTCAACCATCATAAAACATGTATGTTTACTGTGTTGTTGAAGTAAAGAATGACTGAATTAGAGCATAGGTAGATAGCACATGCTACAGAGGCACCCCCACCCCTGCCAAAAAAAAAAAAAAAAGACAAAAGAAGAAAGAGCTTCAAAGAAGAGCAAACATTTGAGCTGGACCTTGAAGGAGAAAAAAAGAGATATAGGCACTCCAAGCAGAAAGTACATATATGCTTGGCAAAGAAGAGTGAAAGGATTTGGAATGACTGAAGAATGACATGAAGTTAGAAGGCTTCTAGAACCCATGGCTTTGTGGTGAGGGAAGGGCAGATCTTGAAGGAAAGGACACTGATATGGCTGGTGGAGCAATCTGACGTTCCAGATCATGTCCTAAGTGCATCAACATGTGCAGCAGATACAAAATGTTCATCAAATTAATAAAATAGACTAGTGTGTACCTCTGTAATTACCTATTTAACTTTACAACTAAGGCCCTAACCACACTTAAACTACCTACCTGCTGCAAAGTCTTTTCACAATGAAGGCAGGCTGTTGAGACTTGGGACAACAAAATAGTCATATCTTCTTGTTGTTGCCTGAGCCAAATCAGTTTTTCACGAACATGAGCATCAACGACACTCAGAGCCATTTCTTCTTGACGACACAGAGTTTCATGTAGATCAGAAAAATAAGCTCGGACACATGACCGGGCATTCTCTGCAGTACCTGGTACCTATGGAAGTCAAAATAAGTTTTAAGTCCCGCCTCCCTCGGCCTCAGCCAAGGCGAACAGTGGAGGCGCGGGCGGCGACGAACATGAATGCGGTGAGGGATACCATGGACGTTCTGCTTGAGATTTCCAGAATTTTGAATACTGGCTTAGATAGGGAAACTTTGTCTATTTGTGTACGGCTTTGTGAACAAGGAATTAACCTAGAAGCTTTATCATCGGTTATTAAGGAGCTTCGCAAGGTTACTGAAGCACTAAAGGCTGCTGAAAATATGACAGCTGACTTTCTGGAGAAATTCTGATAAGATATGTCAAGCTCTGCAGGAGGATTTGAAGATTGCTTTGTAGTCAAGAATGTACAGTGAAATTACTGCATGCATCAGTGTAGAAAAATTTTCCTTTTTATAAGAATTATAAAAACCATAGCTTTATAAATCAGTGGAAAGTGGCTTACAGAGAGAACTAACAGATGTGTTTACATCACCTCTTACTTTGTTTTTTTAACAGCTATAATGCTTTGGCATTGTTATGTTCATATTTATGTATTCCTTATTTATAGCTCTGATAGCTTTAATTTTCTAAGCAGTCTGTCTATCAAATGTGCATATCTGCTGTGCCTGGTTGAAGTATAGTGGAACCCATCAGTAGTGATGTGTGGTAGTTATGACTTGTTGACATTTCCATTATAAACTTTAATTTTGAATTGTTTATGCATAAAAACTGTGGATTTATGTTGTATTGGGCTGAAAGTTGACAGGATTTCAGCTACCATTTGTGAATTTTGATTTAAGTTCATTATTATATCAGAATCTTGTTTTTTAAAAAATAAGAGCATGGAAAACATTTCTAGTAATCTGCTCTTCAACAAAGAATATTTAGTTTTTTAAACAGTTTGTTGGGCAGTTAATAATGTGAACCAGATAATTTTTGTATTGATTGAAAAATAAAACTTTTAGAAACTTAGATTTTAAAGGAAATGACAGTGTTTAGCCTAGCATTACTTATAGTTTGAATCATTTAAATCTAATGGAAATGTTAGTTGAGAATTTTTAAAAGTTTTTATACCCTATAAATGAAGACCTAAAAAATAATGTATAAAATGAAACATAGCCAACATGCAAAATTCCTGTTTACTTTTATTACATAAAAGTAATTTAAGTGCTTACCTGACAAATCTTGAGTGGTTATTTAATAAATCACTAGATAAGTGGTATGTTTCAACAGATATTTAGTATTTTCTGATGAAATAAGGATTTCTAGTCATTAAACAAAAACTAATCTAATGTTCTGTATCAGGAATTATAAGTATGGCTTTTTGAAATCAGTTTATGTGTCCTTTTTTTTACCCTTAAAGCTATAACTCATCAAAGTGATGATATAAAATAAAATTTTAATATATTGATTCTGTTCCTATAACAGAATCTCAGTGAAATTGTTTTGGCAAGACTTCAGGATTTAATATGATTTTATTGTTTCTTAAACTTTAGATTTTGTTAGATACCATTTAAATGATAGTACAAGCATTCGCTCTTTAGTAGCATTTTTTGTTTTTCAGACAAACTGAAATGGTTTTAATAAGACTTAGTGATATTGGTGTAGAACCTTCTGTGCTATTTTTAAAATGTAGGACTTTGACCATTTTGACTTTTTAAATGAATGACATTTTTGCCAAGTGCACTGCAAGGTCTATTATTGGCAGAACAGGTTTGGAGACACCAAGAACTTATAAGTCATTTGATAATAAACACTGCAAATACAGCATGTTGTTATTTATAAAATGTTAAAGAGAACACTTTTGTTAACCTTCAAAATTTGTATATGCTTTTAGGTCATAAGAGTTGATAGTTTCATTTATGAGTTTATAGATTAAGTTATTTATCTATGAAACAAAACAGGAAAATATATTAAGAAGGGATTATGTTTACAGAAGATGTTTCTTTAATGTGTCACATTTCTTAAATGTAAACATATATTTTTAATGCATACTTAAGTAATATTTAAGAAACCAAACAAAATAATGATACAATTGCAGTGTTGTGCTTGTTGTCAGTGACAATAATAAAACCATTTTGGTGGTAAAGAAAAAAAAAAGTTTTAAGCAATTGTAAATTTAACAAAGATTTTATATGTAAAATATTGAAAATTTAATATAGATTGTATAAATGTATACAATCTATATTAAATTTTGAAATTGAAATTTCTATGCTAAATCTTTCCCCTCAACTACAGACTGGATATCCAACTGTTTATAAATGACATCTCAAGCAAAATGCAACGCCTGATCTCCAGTCTTCCCCACCCCCAAACCTAGTTACCTCTAAGTAAATGGCAACTCCGTCCTTCAGGTTACTAAAAGCAAAAAATAGCAGTAATTTTAACTCTAATTAACACTATTAACACCTCTCTTCTATACTCCACATCTAGTCTCTCAGCAAATTCTATCGACTTCAATATATATACAGAATCTGATCATGCCTCACCACCTGCACTTCTATAATACCAACCTCACCCAAGCCATTGTCATCTCTTACCTGATTATTACAATAGCCTTCTTTTGGCCTGCCTGACCCTCCAAGTTACCTATCCAATCAATTTTAACAATTAATCACTAAGACCAACTATGTCTTTAAAATCTCAAATCCATCTACTTTTCTCCAGTCTCACTATCCTAGTATTATAGGCCACATCTCTCAACTATATAATTTCAACAACACGATAATGTGTCTTCCTGCTTCTAATCTTGTTGCTCCTCCAATTCATTTTCTATATTAGGAGCAAGCTTTCGTAATGCAAATCTGATTACATCATTCCCATGTCAATTCTTCAGTGGCTCACTAATACCCTTAAACTAAGTACTGAACTCTTTAAAATGGCTACCAAGATCCTGAATGATTTGGCTTTTAACTTTCCAAGCTCTTTTCCTGCTATTCTCTGCTCAATACTCAAAGCTCCAACCACAATAAACTTTAGTTTCTACAATATGTCCAGTCCTCAATTCTAGGCATTTTAATACATGCTTCCCTCCCTGTGAAAACTCACACCCCACCCCACCCTACTCCATGACTGAATTCCTTTGTATCTCAGCTTAGACATCATTTCTTCTAGGAAGTCTTCTCTGACCTCCAGAGATTGTTGCCCCTGTTATCCACTGCCAAAGCACCCTGTACTTCCCCCCAACAAATTAAATAGCTACCGTATTTGAAAGTATCTCCCTTTTATGATGAATTTTATGTTCAATGAAGACAGAGACTTTTTTAAAAAACTTATTTCCAGTGACTAGAGCAGTACTGGGACATTGTAATTGCTCAATAAATAATTATTAGAAGGTGAAAAGATAAAAAGAAAAAAGAATAAGCAGATAAAAAGGAAGGAAAAAAATCCATACATGTTCTGTGTGAGCCATTCCAATTCCATCTTCCACAATTTGTTCTCCTCCTTCAATGTGCTGAACAATTCCAACTAATTTTCTGGAATAATCTGAGATTTCCTCGGTGAAGGTCCGTATGCAGTGAGCCATATCTAAAATTGATGCTCGGATCTGATTAGCCTCTGGTTCCAATACTGAATGCTATAAAATGCAACATAATTACAGAAAATAACTCATAGTATTGACCAATGATATAAAAAACTATTTAAATCCTTCCTATTAACACAAATAACAGCCACAAGTAGCTTTCATACTCATTTAAAAAAAGCACAGCATAAAAAGGTAAAAAATACTAATTCACTTTTACTCCTTCATAAGAAAACTATTTATTCCACAAAGAAATAATTTAAAATTTTGGAAGTCCATTTATTATTAAATAAGAGACCAAGAGATTATCTCTAAAATTATAATCATAATAGTTCATCAATAGACATAAATATTGTCAAAATAATCCAGTATATAATAAAAGGATGCAAATGAAGAAGAGAATTTTTATTTCCTGTTGGAAAGCTATTTTTAATAAAGAAAGAATCATGAGGCCTCTCTAAAATGTTTATGACATTCAGAAATTAAATCTCTCATTTCGTTTCATGCAACCAAGCCCAATTCATTCACCAGTTAACTCTTCTTCAATCCCTTTTACATAAACAACCAGGCCAGTGAAAACAAATGGTGAGCTGGTAAACTAATTAGAGTCATCCAATTTAATTAAATTCATACCTTGTGACCTTGGTGTTTTCCATATTCTTTGCAGACACAGCACATGAGTGGGCTAGTTTGACAACCTTCTTCCAAGCAAACAAACTCAATGGCATGCACCTGGTGCTGAGAGCACATGGTTTTCTCATGAGGTTTATCAGCTAGAGGCACTCGCCTGTGCTTTGCTAATGTCTTTGTAGAATGTGTAACTTGGGAACACTCTGAGCACAAGTGAGTTGCACACACAGTGCAATACACAGATGCAACATGAGCTTCATCTTCATCACAACGAATGATGCTCTAATAAACAAAAAATTAATGCCTTAAAATTTAATCCAATCAGTATACCATGACAATTTTTGAAATATACAGGCCCACAATCTTTTCTAACTGACTAGCCTTTATATCAATATATGGAAAATATGGTGGTCATTAAGCACAAAGGTCATTCACCATTCATCTGAGAAAGTATTCATTTCTATGGGTGAGAGGCTATTTCTAAAATTGATTGTTAATACATATTATAAATTAAACTATTCTCATAGACTCATGGTCAGTGCAAAGATCTCTTCCAACAAATCCCCCTCATTTTACTAAACCATGGTTAGAAGTATTTTTTTAAGACTAAAAAAATCTTATGTCTAATACATCCTCATTGCTTTAAACGTACCTTGTCATGATGATGTATAGGAAGGACAGAAGCACAAATGCCATTTAGATAATCTGGGGGATGCATCAGAATTACCTGTGAAACTTTTATAAACACAGATGCCCAGATTCCAACCTTGGAAATTCTTATTTCAAGAGGTTGTGGACAAAGCCTGGACTTGTATATTTTTTCTAAATATACACAAGTATAGTCTAACAGCTACACAGATGAATCTCATGCACAATTTAATTTAAGCAAATTAAAAAAAAATAAAACCTATATTATATGTAATATTATTTCTAATTTTCAATAATTACTAAAAAGCATTACAAGTAAAAAATTACATCTGATAACCAAGAATGACTTTAATACTTTTATGAATATTAAAAAACCTGGGACTACAGGCGGACACTACCATGCCCAGCTAATTTTTCAATTTTTTTGAAGAGACAGGGTCTCACTCTTGATCAGGCTGGTCTCAAACTCCTGGTCTCAAGCAATCCTCCCACCTTGGCCTCCCAGAGTGCTACGATTACAGGCATGAGCCACCATGCCTAGATCATAATGTCTTTTTTTTTTTTGAGACAGAGTCTCACTCTGTAGCCCTGGCTAGAGTGCCATGGCATCAGCCTAGCTCACAGCAACCTCCAACTTCTGGGCTCAAGTGATCCTTCTGCCCTCAGCCTCCTGAGTAGCTGGGACTACAGACATGTACCACCATGCCCGGCTGATTTTTTTATATATAATTTTAGTTGGCTGATTAATTTGTTTCTATTTTTAGTAGAGACAGGGTCTCTCTCTTGCTCAGGCTGGTTTCAAACTCCTGACCTTGAGCGATCCTCCCACAGCCTCCCAGAGTGCTAGGATTATAGACATGAGCCACTGCGCCTGGCCCATAAGGTCTTTTTAAATAAAGATAAAAGATAGGGGGAGGGGGGAAATGGGCATTTATTGAAACCTTAAAATCTGTACTCCCATAATATGCCAAAATAAAAAAAAAAAAGATAAAAGATATACCATCTAGAAGAGCTACAAAAATTTTAGAAAACAATGTTTTGGTTTGAAATCCATTTCAATGATTCACTTTAATATAAAGAAATCATCACCTAATAAAAGGGAAGTGGAAATCAATCTGACATTTTTTCCTTGATAAAAATATGTGGTTTTAAAGTCAATCACCAAGATCACTGTTATTTGCTACAAATATCCTTATATCCATAAGTCTGAGAAAGCTGTGTCCTGTATTATATAGCTATGCAGACAATTCTTTAGGTGTTAAAAAAGTATATTAACATTGTTAAAATCCATGGTTAATGAATTTTTATAATATTAGACATCTGTCCATCTGGATACAAAGTACATCTACACATAATTTAACCTTTTCTTGAAGATATTTAATAGTAATAATTCTATCAGAAGTTACTACTATCTTTAAGGCATTTTGCCTCTACATTAAATAGTCTTTTTCATGGAGCTTTTCTTTCTGTCCTCGTATTTTACTGCCGACCGATCTGCACTTGTGTCCTCTGTTCTAATGTAGCTTACATATCTTTGTTACTCTTCCATCTTCTTACTCTTTTCACTTTGTCTTTGGAAAGAATGAAATTACCATAAAGACAAAAGTTCACACAAAACATAATTAGGCATAGTATTTTAAGAGAATACAAGCTTTAGTTTTACTTTTGTTTTGTTGAGAACAGTGCTGCCTTCAGAACAGTAAGGTCATGAAAAGTTGTGTTTCTAGAAATCTAACTGCTGAAGGAGGCAATACTGTGCCATTAATGACAAATATTTTAAATTAAAAGAAAAATTCATGCTCATAACAAATATTTCGCCAAGTTCAATCAATCGATACCTCTCCGGATATCCCAATGGCTTCTTCTGCGGCTCCATACTGACCAATATGTCCGTTCTGCAGCCGTTCCAAAAGCTCCAATAAAGCAAAATTTTTTTTCAATCCCCAGACACCTGAATCTCCTAGAATATAAAAACAAACTCTAAATCTAACAAAATAGAATATTAATTTTAATATGACTTTAAATTTTAATGTGACTTTTTAATTTTCAGTCACTAATAATGTCTAAAATTTAAAAATTCAAATTTTCCCCATTTCCTTTTCATGACAGAACAATTGCTTTGTTAATGTACTCTTTAAAAAGCAGAAGAACCCCTCAGCATTCCAAGTAAAAACATACTTTAAAATTCTATTATTTTTCTATCATTTAATATTATAAATCCTATTTTACACTGTAACCCAGGACATGCACACACTATTCCTGAGCCTATAAATAAAATCAAGATCCTTCAGCAGTTAGAAGGAATATCTATTATTGTGAGCTTCTAATGCCATCTGATATACCTACCACCTAATACCTGTTCATTGAATAAATATATAAAAGGATGATGGAGTCATTGCCTACAAGGCTTTCCTTCCTCTTGGTTCCTCTTTTCTTAAGTTTAAAAAAAAAAAAAATTCCTGCTGTGATTCTCCAAAAAACTAGGCTCAATATGTTTATCCTCCCCTCTGACTTCTGTAGCCCTGTTTCCCAAGTACCCCTATGCAGCCCACCCAGCATTTCTCCCTCAGCCTTGCCCGCACAAGCCCTTCTCCTTAATGTGTATTCTAACATATATTCTACAACAAGCTGTGTTCTAGTTACTCTTTATATAAAGGTTAAGAAGTATAATAAGTGACCATTTCAAAATATGGTCTTGACAATTTTCCAAATATTCAGTCATTATATAGCGAACATATTACAGACATAAATTCCTAGCAGTATCTAGGTACCATCAAAAATATTACTTAATGTTTCTGTAACTTCAAACAGCTCTACAGTCTCAATGGCTTAATACAACAAAGATTTACTTTTTGTTCATGCACATCTCAGGGGTTGGGGAAAACAAGAAAGGCTCTGTACCCCACTGTCCATTGCCAGCAACACAAACTACTAAAGCTCCACCCCCCTAGACCACTCACTGTAGCGGGGAGGAGGATTTACCTTGAACCATCATAAACCTCCTCTCAACAACTTCAACCTGGAAGTTAACACTTCACTTCTAGAATCTCACATTTCACTGGTTAAATGGAATCACCCAGCCATACCTAACTATAAGAGGGCAGGGAAGTGTAATTTCACCATATGGACAGAAGAGGAGAACTAGAAATATTGCTGAACAGTGCTAATTACTGAGATTATCCTGAACTCAAGAGGAATTATAATTATGACCTTTAAAATTAACAGTTTTCTTCTAGAGATAAATTATAAATGATTTTTCTTCTTCCTACTTTTATATTTTTTCAAATTTTCTACAATGTATATAGATATTACTGCTATAATATATTTAAAAATAGAGTTATTTTTAAAAAAGAATGAAATCCAACAATATCAAGGGTCACTAATATATTCCATAGTAAAAATCTAATTTATGAGTTATAGTAATTACAATATCTAAGCCAGAGTTATTTTTAATGTTGATGTGATGATAGCAGTCACATATTTCAACTTAAGATATGACTAATCTGAGGGGAGGGGGGAAATGGGCATTTATTGAAATCTTAAAATCTGTACCCCCATAATATGCCAAAATAAAAAAATAAATTAATTAATTAAAAAAAAAAAAGATATGACTAATCATTCCCTGTCATAAATTTCTAGTATGGCTAAACATTGAAGATGGTAACACCCCACACTGTGGTATTAATGTAGAGAAGGTAAAGTACTCTTCAAAAAGATGGAAGAAAGATTTGCAAATATCTACTATTTGCAAAACACTGCCATTTCTATTAGTATTATATAAAGAAATGGTTATGATACATGCATACATTACCAAATAAAAGACCAAAAAAAGAATCTCAAAATAGATACTTCACCCACCCCTGTTATTTCTTAGGTACTAGTAAGGTTATGTTACCTATAACAATGCTATCACTGTCCTATATTAGTTGTCTGGCAAATAGACATACTACTTATTTGCATCAAAAACCACCAAAACCTTAAGAAATCTATTTTTTCCTTACAAGAAAACATTTTAAAACCATGTTCTTAGCATTTTAAACCTAAAAATATGGATACTCTTGCTTCCTTTTTAATAAATTATTTTGAATGTATTCCACTTGGCATATAAAATGACTACATTAAAATGGTCTTAAATAGTACTACTGACCTTTAAGAAAAAAAAAAGGCAACCTGAAACTATTTTGGGGAAAACTCCCCTATCAAAAAGAGTAAGGTTACAGAACTTATGTTTGTAAAATAATTGTTCAAATACTAAAAATGTTATTATTTCCAAATCTGGTATCCCAAAGTGGTAACTTATTTTGAAATATGTAATGCAAAGTTTTAAAAGTATGCAGGAAACTGAAAAAATCCACAAAACTCTTTAATTTTAACAGAAAATAAGGAGTATCATGACAAGCTACAAACACTTCTGTTTCTGATATTAGTAAATAAAAACAGGCTGAGACTCAAATGACTTATTTGTATTTTCATTATTGGCTTATTCATTTGTAAAGAAAATATTGTTTTACTGGGTTAATGAATTCAAACAAATTATTTACTCTGTGATAAAAATTCTTATTTCTTTCACTAAGGGTAGCATGTTTTTCTCAGGTTTAGTCTTAAAGCTCTTTGCATGTAAGTATAGAATATAAATATCTCTGAAGATGAAATAAAATTAATAACTAAGAAGGGGATATTTTACAAATAGACTACTGACCTTAATAGAAACCCAGGCTTTCTGAAACTTCCTTAGAATATTATTTCAAAAATTAAGTGGAAATAAATTATTTTCTATGATATTTGTATTACATGAATAATTTTCAATATTAAATCCATACAAATAATTCTCCTACCTAGGTCCGTTACTTGTCGATCAAATGGACAACGGATTGCTCTTCCATGAAGAGGTAGGCGGGTGAGACAGTCATGACAGACTGTGTGACCACAAAGCAGAAGACGAGGAACTTTGTCTCCTTGCAGAGAAAAGACATCTTCACACACTCCACACTCCAGCACCTAATATATTTAAAAGGAAACATGTGATGTGTGTTCTTTAAATAAGTTTAAAAGCATACATATCTCAGGCTTTAAAGAAAACTTATCTAATATATTGAATCAACATTGTTACTTTATTCCTACATGAAAAAAACTAGGCTGTAAAACCTTAAATCACTTTTTAGTAATTCCATCTGAAAAACCCTGCCAATATTTTATCATAGTGAAATCTCCTTGAACACTAAGCATTAGGGTCAAAGATAATATTGTAAATTAACATCTTTATCTTTTGAAAATTACAATTTGACTCATTACATATGAATCTGTAAAAACAATATGTAATTCTACCAAAGTTGGCAACTACCTAACCCCCAATAAGCCCTCATTAACTTTGACAAAAACAATCTAAAATATGGTCTGGGATGACAATTATCCTTGTAAATGACAAAGAACTTGTTAAGAAAAGACTATAAGTAATTTTCACATATCTTCTAATATCCATTTATATCAAATAATGTAAAGACAAAAAAGCAATCACCTTAAATTTCAATTCCTGTTCTTAATTAATAAACACAGCCCTGGGTTAGAAAATAGTTTATCTAGTTCCAATTACAGGTACATGACTTGCCCAAGGCCAGTCAGTCAAAAGAAAATTGTAAAAATTGGCTTATTCTGATTCTTAGATCTATAAGTTTATGTTTTATAAATAGACAACAAACTGTATTTATAGCAATAAAGCATTTTCTTTTCTTTTCTTTTTTTTTGAGACAGAGTCTCACTTTGTTGCCCAGGCTAGAGTGAGTGCCGTGGCATCAGCCTAGTTCATAGCAACCTCAAACTCCTGGGTTCAAGCAATCCTTTTGCCTCAGCCTCCTGAGTAGCTGGGACAGGTACAGGCATGTACCACCATGCCCAGCTAATTTTTTCTATACATATTATTCGGCCAATTAATTTCTTTCTATTATAGTAGAGACAGGGTCTCGCTCTTGCTCAGGCTGGTTTCAAACTCCTGACCTCGAGCAATCCGCCCACCTTGGCCTCCCAGAGTGCTAGGATTACAGATGTGAGCCACTGCGCCCAGCCGCAATAAAGCCTTTTCAGTGCTTATTTCTAAGTAAATCTGTAGTGTTTCACAATTTTAATTAATTTTTTTTAAAAAATACCCATAATGAACAATTCAATCATAACCCAAACTCCTGTGTCTGCCATTCAAGACCTGTTAATAAAATCTGGCCCCTTGTCCTACTGCTTCACTGCCACATTCTTCAGACCATAAGCTCCAACTATATCAAACAGCTTATAGTTTCCAAAAATAACTGTTTTGTGTCTCTTTCTTTATGCTCATGCAGAGAAAAGGACCACACAATACTATGGGCCCCTACATGCTTTGGATAAGTGTCTACTGTAGTAACATCCAAAACACTTTAATACCTTCGTTGGCCTTTCAGCCTGTCTTTCCCTGTTAGACTAAAGAGCCCTCAGGAACAGGGTATTCCTAATACCAAACACCTACATGCTTAAATAAAGTCCAAAAATAAAAATATAAAGATAATTAGGGTCTGAAAGGTCTGGCAGGGTAAAATCAGACAAAATCCATTACAATTTTAAATTTAACTCTGCAATTAATTTGGTCTTAGTGCTTAAGATACAAATATCTTTCACTGTAAATAAACAGATAATTTATAATTCTCTTGCATCCTAGTATGGTTCAGAAGAAACTAAAGCATAACATAGCTCACAAAAAAGGAAATGAAAGTAACTTTTTAAATATATGAAAAGATGTTCCATCTGACTCATAAAAGAAATACAAATTAAATCTACATTAAGATACATTTTTTCGTAGTCCATTTCTGACGAAAATAAAAAAAAAAGATATTTTGTTTCAAATTATATCTAAAATCAGATTAGATCTGAAGATATGGGAAAATAAACATTCTCATACACTGCTGATTGCTGTCAATTGTTTAAGTGATACAGACTCTATGGAAGGCAACCTGGCAATACATCTCAAAAATTTAAATAACTCAGTAATTCCAGTTGTAGGAATTTATCCTACAAATATATCAGACATGTATGACAAGATCTATCAATTATTCCTACCACAACCATTTGCATTAGCAAAAGATTGGAAACAAAGAAAATATGCAGCAATACCAGACTGGAAAATAAATTATGGTACATTCATATACTATAAAACTACACAGGCTTGCAAGAAAGACTTGGGAAGCTTTTTGTGTACACAGAATGATTTCATATGAAAAAGGCAAAGAGAAAAATGACAGAGCACATTCATTTTTGCATAAAGGTAGAGAAAGAAGAGGATATGTTTTTATATATTGTTACATAAGCATCCTATCTTTCTGGAAGTATATGCAGGAAACCAATAACATTGGAACACTGGTTCCCCACGAGAAAGGGAAACAGCTGGGGAACAGCTAGTTATTCACATATTATATCTGTTATACACATACATACATATTTCAACTTATCCTATATTTTTTACAAAGAGAAGAAAAAAGTTGAATTATCAAATTCAATTATATACATAAAAGATATTCATAATACAGTTAGATATTATAAAATAAATGCAGTATTTTTATAAATACTCATTATTGTGATACTATAATAAATTAAACTTGTTCATGACAATAAACTCTAAAGGAAGAAATTAGAATTCTGTTTAGTTTATTCATATCTTATATCTCTAACACATGTGATGTGTAACATCACATACACAGATAAAAGAACTTAGATTTTTACCATAGATTTTTTTCAAAAAGCACTAATAAAATTTCATTGATTAGCAAAACAAATACAGGTCCAAAAATAGTTATTTTGCAAACATCAACTCAGTAAATAATAGAGCAAGAAATTCTTTTCTCAGTATCTATGAACAGGAATTGTGGCTAACAGCATAAAAAGCTTTTAATTTTATACTTCATTAAAATCCCAAAGAGAGCTTCGAACTTATTACATGTAAATCAAATTTTAATAAACCACACCACATTTTAAAAAGACTAAGAAGGCACACTAAGCAAAAGAAACTTTCTGTGATTTCTTTTTAAATGCAAATTATTTCACAATATCAGATTTTTCTGTTTTTCCTAATGATAAAAACCCTATCATTATCAACCTGCTCATTAAGAAAGAGGCCATTTTGTACAGTATTAGTATTATATACTTCAACATTTACTACCCAGTAAATACTTCTTGCTGTCATCTATAAAAACGATGAGATATTTTTTTAAAATTTATTCTACCATATCTATTATAAATTATGACATGAAGAGCTTGTCAAAAAGGACTACCACGTTGCATGTTAAGATGAAAATAAACAAGGTAGGACTCTAATATATCAAATTCTGTCCTGTAACAAACTGGAGTTACATCAGGCTTTGGTACACATTTGAGATTATAAGCCAAAGAGGTAGCCAAAATAGAAACCACAATGAAAATCATTCCAATTATGAAATAAAACAACTTAAACTTTCAGTTAATTCACAAAATACTCTACAGATATTCTCTACTTAGCAAGAGCACAATTCAGTAAATAAAATCTCAACCATATAACATGCCTAATAATGATGGCTCCTCTGTATCTCAGATATGCTATGTACCTTCAGAATAACTTCATTACTATTTAAAGATCAACTGAATCAACAACCACCAACATTGACTGATACTAAGTTGCAGGAAGAAATATTTCATTTGCAGTTATATAAAACCAACATTAAGTGAAAAATCATTGGTGCTTATTATTCAAGATGTTAAAAGAACTTCAGAACCGGGTTCAGTGGTTCTCAACCCTGGTTGCACATTAAAATCACTCCTGAGAATTTTAAAAATACACTGATGCCAACCTAATCAGAATTGGGGAAGGACTGCATCCGTAGCATTTTATTTTTTTTTATTTTTTTATTTTTTTTTTCGTAGCATTTTAAAAGTCCTCAATGGTCCTAATGTGTAACCAGAAATGAGAATTACCAAATCTCTTCAATTACAGATGATCCTGAAGGTTACTCTATAAAACACTAAGGTCAGTTCTCCTTTCCAGATCTTTCCATACATACAGTAGAGGGAGAAAATGAGCTCCACATATTTCAATTGATCTTTTAAAAAGAGGTATGAATGTATAAATGTATAAATACTTTGGAGCATTTATACATGTTAGAATCTCAAACTTCAAGCATAAGGCAATTCATAAACTCTAGTATTAATGACCAGCTGTGCTGCAGTTGGAGACTTCTAAAAAGTGCTGACAGACCGGGGTGGGGAAACTGAGGCCTTAAGGCCACATATGGCCTTCTAAGTCCTTAAGTGCAGCTGTTTAACTGAATCCAAATTGTACAGAACAAATCCTTTTACTTTTATTAATACATTTTTGTTCTTTCATAGTTTTTATTTTTTAAATTAATGTATTTAAAATACCAAAGAATAAAATAAGTTTCAACAAAATAATCCTCCCAGCTTGACCAGTGCAATTAGAATATTACTAAGCCATAAGGGCTAAATTGATGGCTGCTATGCTTATGATTTATTTCTAACGTCCCCCATCTGACTGGCGCCACTACTGCACAAGGCTGGTTGGCAAGAGTTTTGGAGGTTGAGTGTGCCAGCATGTTATCAGCTTTTGACAATCATGCACTGTGTTGCTGTTTGAAGTGGACTTGTGAATAGTTGCACAGCTCAACAATATTTTTTAATTCTGTCTGCTTAACAGCCCACCATGTCAAAGAACACCAAGAGAATGCTTAAGGAAGAAAACAGATTTTTTAATGAGGATTGGGAATTGCATTACTATCTTTTTTCTGCTAAAGGTAAGATGGTTTGCTTGCTTTGTGATACTGCAATATCAACATTAAAGAAATTCAATGTTCATCAGCACTATAACACTCATAAGGACCACAAATATTTTAAATTGGAGGAAGAGGCACAAAAGGTTGCACTCCAGAAATTAAAAGATGAAAAGCAAAGACAACTTTTTCAAGCAGCAATAAGACCTGGAAATAATGCTACTGAAGCAACTTATAAAGTAGCTGAAATACTCAGGAAAAAAAGGAAGCCATTTAGCGATGTAGAAATTGTGAAAGAATGCACTGTTGAAATTGTAGAATACTTAGACCCTGAAAACTGCCTCTTTCAAGGAGAACCATACTTATTGGCAGCATGAATTAGCCTTCAACTTAACAGGACTTTACAAGGAAAATCTGTATTATTCAATTGTTTTGGATGAATCAACTGATACTACTGACTTAGCGCAGGTTTATACTTCATTTGGGTTAAACAGAGGATTTTCTTTGCTACAAAGAGTTATGCACTTTGGGTACTCTCACAAACAGAACACAGGGAATAGATATCTTCAACAACTTTCAAGATAAATGTCATGAAGTAGAACTGAACTTGGTAAACTTAGTGATTGTATGTACAGATGGTGGACCTTCCATGAAAGGAAAACATGAAAGGTTTATCACACAGATTAAAAAGGTGGTAACAGATCCAGATGCTCTAATTTCTTTTCATTGTATCTTGCATCAGCAAAATCTCTATGCTGAAGCTACTATTTTAACAGACACTTTGCAACAAGTTGTATTGTTAACTATTAATACATTCATGCAAATGCCACATGGCATCAGGTTCATAACATGCTAAAGTTAAACCATGAGGTATTCACTGTGGATTTGCCCTATTATTGTAAAGTGAGTTGGCTATCTCAATATTTTATCTCCATGAGAACAGATAAATTTTATGAAGAACAGAATCAGCAATGTGAATTATTGAAAGAAGATATCTTTTTTCAAAACACTGCTTCAAAAGGAAATTTCAGATGAACATCTTCCCCAGTTAGCAAAGGTCACTGATGAGCGGGACCACATACGCAAATCATTTGAAGAATACACAGCTGTTACAGAACTATTAATTGGAGAACACAATACAAGGTTCACTGACTTTGAGAACCTTCATGGTATCACATTCAAATTAGCATTTCAGCCTCACACAGTTGATATCACCAAGACACTTAAGTAACTATAGATGGAATTGATTGAGCTCTCAGTAGATGACATTTAAAGTCATCGTTTGATGCTAAGAAACATCCAAATGAAATATGGAAAAATGCAATAGAATACCCACGCCTTTGGCAACATGTCCCCAAAATAGTTTCTTGCTTTTCAACCACTTACTACTGCAAATCTACATTCTCCTACCTAACCCGAATCAAGATGCTCTTAAGGTCACAGATGAGTGATACCCCCTCTACAGCTGTGGTTCCCACTCCCTGGGCTGTGGCTAGGTACTTGTCACTGGCCTGTTAGGAACCCACCTCCCACCTAAACCAGTTGGCACAGCAGGAGGTAAGCAGCGGGCCAGCAAGGGAAGCTTTATCTATATTTACAGCCACTCCCCATCGTTGGCATCACCCTCTGAGCTCCACCTTCTCCTCCCTCCATGGAAAAATTGTCTTCCACAAAACCAGTCCCTGGTGCCAAAAAGTTTGGGGGCCGCTGATCTAGAGGATCAACTGAAACTGTGCACCTCCATGCTGCAACCAAATATTCAAAAGCATTCTCAACAAAAAGCAGACACAACAAAGTTGTTAACAAAGTTGGTTAACTTTAAAATTAACAAATAGTTTTCATTTTTTAAAATTATTAAGTACAGAGTAGATTTTTACAAAATAATGTACATTTTTAAGTATATCTAATTGAAGTTTCTTGAATTTGCCCTTATTTGATTACAGCTACACTAACTCAGCCTTCCAACATGAAAAGATTCCCCCCCATCCTATGATAGACTGTACCAAGAGGGAAGAGGCCGGCTCAACCATAACCGACGTCTGATTATAGAAGTAGTGCAACAGTGAAAAAGACTTCAAGGCCTGTCAATCCTGGGCTCTGCCACACACGGTGTTAATCTAAACCTGGGTTTCCTCCCCGTAAAATGGGAACTAACATCTATATTTTAAGTAGATATTAACAAAACACCCAATGTTGTATCTGGTAATTATAATGGCTCGATACGTTAATTTATGCCTGCTGAGTTTAACTAAAACCAGAGAACCTGGGAAAAGACCGGTCCGGTTCACTCCCACACGCCCACAGCTGCCTTTCACAAATGGCCTGGCTGTCGATGTTGACATCTGGCATGAGCAGACCCAGAAACTTCAAGTTATCGGGGATAACGGTAGCGGAGCAGAGGACAAGATTTGTAAAGCCAAAGTAAGCCTAGAGGCCGCGCATCCTTGTTCATCAAAGCCTGGGCCGTGGCGAAGCTGCCAGGTCTCCAGAATGAACCGAAGGTAGGCCGATGGTGGAGAACAGAGGACGCAAGGTCCCTCACCTTCACCACAGCCGTCCCCCGGCTGCCCTGTCGGCCACCGTCTAGTCCCGCTCCTGGCTTGTTTACAATCAGGGTAGCCATCCTGGGAAGAGAAGCGCCGCAGTTGCAGCGGTCAGAGCCTTCAACTGAGAGGCGGGGTTGAGCCACCTACCCAGAGGCCTCGGCGCACGCCGCTGGCGCACAGGCGCAATACGGCGCACCGCCCTGCTTCGCCGACCTCTTCGCGCCTCCTCCCGTCAGTCACTGGCCTTGCGCATGGGCACCTTGTTATTTTTTTTTTTCTGGGTCTGCAACTGATGGAAGAAAAGTCCTCAGTGAAAAGGGAAAGGACTGAACAGAATCAAAATTTTGGGGTGAAACTTCCTCTCCTGTAATGATTTCTCCCCTCCAATTGCAAACTAGCCGGGGTGGGAAAGGGAGTGGGAGTGATGGGGGCGGGGGACTACATCTCCCTGCATGCAATGCGATTTTATGTAAACTACAAATCCCAACATGCCACTCCCTCACCTCTTTTTTTTTTTATTCCTGCAATTGTGAGGCTGTACGTCGTTAGTGAGGAGTGGTTTCTTAAAGTCGCAATGTGTAATTGTAGATGGGAAACAGAGTGTTTTACGTAAAGATCTCTTAAGAGACAAGGGCTGGATTTGGTGAAAAGAAGACATTGGGTCTGTAAAGGACGTGGTAAAAAGAGAATTTAAGGCCCCACCGACAGAGAGAAGCTGTTTAAACTGGGTTTGACGCCCGGTCTTCCCAAACGCGCGCTGTTCAGCTTTCTTCCGGACCGGTTGAACCTTTTGAGCCCCCGTAAGGCAGTGGGTCAAAAGTGCTGGTGAAAATGGAAGTGAATCCCCCCAAGCAGGAGCACCTGCTGGCTCTGAAAGGTAAATTTTCGCGAACCTAGGTTTCCTTATCCTGTTTTCTTCCCTTCTGTCGCTATTTTTCGAAGTTTTGGCCACATAAACCTGTCCTCTGAGAGACAGGCCTGATTTGTCTTAAACACTGTCAGTGCTCGCTCTCCTGCTTTGTCCCTTGGCGCCAAGCAAGAGGAAGCGATTTCTCCTCTTTGCTTTTTAGGTTTAAGAATCGCCTTCCAGAACGAAATAGATACCTGGTAAATTTATACGAAGGTAGTCTCTGTGATGTGTGCTCCTGCAGTCACCAGATTTTAGCCGCCGAAGCTGACGTCCCTGTCCTACCGAGGAGGTCTCTGTGAATGGGGATGAATTATAGCAGATGTCTAAAGTGATTTTTCCTCCTGTCTCTCGCCTCTTCACGTGGCACCGACGAAGTTATCAAGCTTCAGCTTCATCTGTAAAATTAGTTTTGCATATTTTAAGAATACACAAGGATTTAACAATACACAGCACCACGACATATAACTACGACATATAGGTTTGCTAAAACATACTGCAGCTTCTATGTGGGAAATGTGTTCAAAATCTCATGTCAACTTTTACTTTTTGTACGTGGCAATTTTGAGTAGATTTGATGATTTGATAAGGTCATTATTTAGGAAAAACCCAGCAAGACAGATATTTCTGGAATTGCTATTTTCTGAAAACCTTTTATTTGAAATGAATTCAGCTTTATTTCATCTGTTTTCTAGTACCACGAATGCATTTTTTTTATTGAATGCTCTAATATATGGTTAACAGTGCCTTCTTGTACTGAGCTGAGGAAATGCTCAGTAGACATTTTGATTCAGTTGAATTGCACTTACCCTCCTTATTGCATCCATTTTTAGACACTCCATACACTTCCCATTATGATGTAAGCAGCAAACATTCCAGAAGCTAATCAGTCCCATTTGGTAACACGTAACATGTATTCTGATGATTGGAATTAACAAGACTGTCTCTGTGGAACTAAGAAACTTTATAATGTTAAATAACACAGCGATCGGATCTGTAAGCTTAGCCTGAGCAAGTGATCTAGACTAAAATGGATTATTACTCATGGAGAAAAGGGAAAAGAAAAAAAAGAACTAATTGTAATGTTTTTTATCTCCCAATCTCACATCAAGCATGTGGGATAAAAATTATTTATCTCTCATAGCTTAAGCAACTTTTCCCAAATATCCAAGAAGTGATTGAGGCAGTATATCAACACAAGGCCTGCCTCCATCATTCCAAGATGCCATGTTGCACCCCCGTGTTTGAAACAGCATTTTTAAAGATCATTCCTTTACTGACTACTTTGTTTTTTGCCTTTGAGACAGAGTCTCCCTCTGTTGTCTAAGTTAGAGTGCAGTGGCATCATCGTAGCTCACTGGGCTCAAGGGATCCTCCTGCCTCAGCTTCCCAAGTACCTGGGACTGCTGGCAGGTAGCAAGAGGCCTGGCTAATTTTTCTATTTTTAGCAGAGACAAGGTCCCCTCTTGCTCTGGGCTGGTCTCAAACTCCTGAGCTCAAGCAATCCTGCCCTGGCCTCCCAGAGTGCTAGGATTACAGGCATGAGCCACTGCACCTGGCCTTTGCTGACTACTTTGATGAGAATTTGAAATAATTCTATTAGCTGCTAGGTGTGATTTATACAAATTAGAAGCTGTTAAACAAGTTGAATTTCAGTGATAGAGAGACTAACAGCCATTGGGAATTTTGGGGGTTTTGTTAGTCTCTATTTTCCAAAACAGAAGATACCTGGGAAAGAGTATTTAAGCAGCCTAAAATGGCAAGTGAAGTGCTTTAAAAGTCACTGATAATTTTAACTTTATTAAACCTCTTTGGTACCATTCTTCCCCACTGTCCTAATCAATCAAGAATTTCCACAAGTTTTAATTATGTCAATTTAAATAGTTAAATTCAGACAATAATGAAAGCATTCTTAAAGCCATATGTTACAATGTGAAAGTGTAAGGAAGGGAGAAGAAAAAAAATTAACACGTTAATTCTTAAAAGAATGTTATCACATATTTAGATACATATTAAAAATATGGATTCTAAGGATCACAGTCATTTTTGAGAGAGAGCGCCAAATCCTAACCACTAGACCACCAGGGAGCAACATTTTTGAATTTGAGAGTTGTCAAATCTGTTAGTGGACATTAAGAGTAGGTAAAAAGAATTATTAGTTACTTCTTCTGACTCTTCAGAATCAGACAGTGCTTCTATTGTGACATCAGGATGGGAGTTCCCATTCACAGTCATCCTGGCAATAGGCTGTAGTTCTTTAATTATTTGGGGGGAGAAGGGATTCAGCCCCTTATTTTTTTCTAGGATATGAAAGAGCCTGTGTTATGGCTCTTACAGCTTTGGGCCTGGTTGGGAAGCCTAATGTGCAGATCCTAGAAGGCTCCATTCTTGAGCCTATGTACTATATGCTGGAATTTATTATCAATGACTTAATTTGGGGGCAACTTGAAGACTTCTGTGTTTTAAGAAAAAAGAAAAATAAGAGTCTAAACTTCTAGTTCCTCCTCCAAATTGGAATTCAGGAGCCATGGTACTAGAGTCTCAATATTGCTTAATTGTCCCCATTATATCAAGAAGATTTTGTCACAAAACCAGTTACTAAGCTGGTTAAAATGCAAAGTTAAACCATATTCATGTTTTTAGTGTTTACTACTGAGAATGAGATAAAAAGTATTCTTTCCCTATATTTGGTGAAATTCATAAAATTTTAAAGTATAAAATTTTCTTCCATATAGATTTAAATTTAAAATGTTTTTGTTGTCCTCAATTCAGATGTCTCAAATTTTTATTTATTTTTTATCATTATTATTATTTTTTGAGGCAGAGTCTCACTCTGTTGCCCCCGCTAGAGTGCCGTGGCATCAGCCTAGCTCACAGCAACCTCAAACTCCTGGGCTCAAGTGATCCTCCTGCCTCAGCTTCCCAAGTAGCTGGGACTACAGGCATGCGCCGGCTAATTTTTTCTATATATTTTTAGTTGGCCAATTAATTTGTTTCTGTTTTTTTATTAGAGATGGGGGTCTCGCTCTTGCTCAGACTGGTTGGAACTCCTGACCTCGAGCGATCCGCCCGCCTCAGCCTCCCTGAGTGCTAGGATTATGGGTGTGAGCCACCGTACCCGAGATGTCTCAAATTTTTAAATACTACATTTTTTGTTATCCTCAGATGACTCCATTATTTTAAGAATCAGTAATTTACTCTTTGTTTCTGCTACAGTCTTAGGATTGTTATTACTTAATATATTTATACTTCCTAGTCCTTTATATCTGTTGAATTAAACATGTTGACTACTAAGATGTTTATGCCGGAAGTGATAGGACATCTAATTCAAATCCCTTATTTTGGTGAGAGGAAGGATTTTCAAGTTTGTAAATTACATTCATATTTATCAGTAACACTTTGGTAAAATATCATATTAGGATTGGTTTTTGTATTTTGTTTTTCCTTTTATCCCTGCCTATTTATATGTAGGCTGTCCCTGCCATATCTTATTCTTTGTAATACTTCTACTTTAGGTCCTGTTTCCTCTGATTTGTCAAGAGAGACAGTCTTGTCATAACAAATTACATTCTAGCTCTGAGGAGTTCAACTAAGAATTTTTTCTTCATTAAGAGTAACTGGACTACTACAGAATGACTACAGAAGTAATATTACATTATCGATCATATGAGAGTGATCCCACACAACTGCTAAAAATTGCAGAAAAGGCAATTCAGGACTTTCCTACTCGCCCGCTATCAAGATTTATTCCTTGGTTTCCACATGATGGATCTAAGCTTCCACTCAAACCTAACAAATCACCACCTGTGATTTCTGGAGAGGCAGCTGAAGATGTGAAACAGTATTTAACCATTTCAGAACATGATGTTAAATCACAGAGTTATGATTGCACAGTAGATCTACTGGAGTTTCAACCTAGTTTGAAAAAGCAGTGCCTAATCTGGTCACATACAGTGAATGAACACACTAATTCTGGAAATCTGGATAAACAATCAGAAAAAGGGAAACAGCACAACGGGAGGTCTTGGAGTGTTTCACTTCCTAACAGTACCTGTACAGAAAATGTTTTTCCTTTGTCCAAAAAGTTGCAAGATAGTTTAAAGGCACTAAATTTGCACTCATTTTATAGAGCAAGATGGACAATAGAACACACTATTTGTAACAACCAAACTCTGGAGGACATTTGGGCAAAACTCAATCAAATTATCAGGCACAATGAACTTCCTTCTTGTAATGCTACAATTCAGAGACATTTAGGCCAAATCTGGGTGTTCTGTGATGTTAAGTATTGTGAATATGTGGGAAATCTTCTTAAAGGAAGATTAGCACTTACTGGAAAAATTAATTTATTTGTGCATAAATACGGTGTTATTTTTAGTATGTAATGAATTCCACTGATTGTCAAAAAGAAGAATATTCTCAATGAACTGAGTATAGACTAAAATAAATGAAAGTTTTACTGGTTTTTAAATTTTTAATGACTTTATTTTGTTATTTGACCTTTTCTTAATATAGCCTATTTATTCTTAACATTGTAGAAAAATAATGTGTGGTGATATGTTTGTGTCCCAGGAATGACTAAATATCAGGTGAATTCTTAGGCTTGTTAAGTAAGTCAAGAACTTTCTGGATTCTGCTAATAAAAGCCATCTTTTAAATGAATTGTAATAAAGTATTGCTTATATTGAATTTGTCTTTTTTTAAAATATTATTTTTCTTTTTCTTTATTTCTTTTTTTTCCCATGTTAAATCAATTACAATCAAATTGAATTTGAAGGTAAAATGTTCTTTTCATTTTGTTCTACTACTTTTCCAGTGATTGAATTAGATATTCGTAAATAGTTTGGATTTTGGTGAATCCCTAAAATCTAATTTTACTGTATTTTTTCTTTACTCACCTAAAGCATAGTGATTTCTTAAAAAAATAAAACTCAGAACATTTCTATTGGCAATGCTATTTGAGTGGCATGAATGTAGTTCAAAATGGAAGACCACCCCAGATTCTTAATGCTTTTTCCAAAGATATGTAATAAATAACAATTGTGTTGTTTTGAAACAAAGGTGCAAAAAGTATAATTTGCCTAAGACCATAATGTATCTTTAAGGCTATAATTTGTTTTGAAGGAAAGTTTCAAATGTGGATAAGAGATCAAGTTATTCTCTGTTATAATACAGTCTTAATGATTGTTAATGCTCATTATAGCTTGGATGATTATTGGAGTCAGTTGTAAGCTTCTCATAAGCATAAGTTATAAATTGGGTTTACACATTACACATCACCTCATAGAAATATTCAAAGTGGTTAATAGAATAAAAGTTTTGTAAAAGCATGTATTTAACAAATTTAAATGCCTGCCTATCTTGTGCTAGGTGCTAGGATATAGCAGCAAAGGAGAGAAACATGGACCCTGTCTCACAGAGCTTAGATGGTGTTACTACTATTAAGTCAAAACAGCTCCCTGAGAAAAACTAGTAAGACTGTACTCAGTAGGAAGACAGAGACATGGAGTCCACTAATTTTTAACTAAAGCAATAATCTTTTCCTGATAGGTTTCCACTTTATCCAAACAGTTTTGTTTTTAATTACTTCTGGTACTTTTTTGCTGTCTAAAATGAGACTCCTGTCTAGAAAATAATCATTGTATGCATGAATGCTTCCAAAAGTCATTGACTGAAAAAACACTGGAGGATAGGGAAATTTTCAAAACAACTTATTTAGTAATTCCTTCCTCTTTCACTTCATTAATCTTTTTACTCTTCAATCAAGATTACTAGAGAAACTTCAGTATTGCCGGTGAGTTTGTAAATTTGGTGGATATTAGGCAATCATAAAGAGTGTATTTGATTTTTATTCAGGTCTTATTCATCACAAGGTTGCTAATCAAATGTTAGGTAGTCATAATAAATTTTATGATACAGTTTTATACTTTTGGAATGATTTTACACAGAACTGAAAATATAAGGTACAGTCAGGCATGGAATTCTTATGAGCAGTTTTTTAATCTAAGATTCACAGGTTAAAAAGAGATTTTTTGGGCCAGGCGCAGTGGCTCATGCCTGTAATCCTAGCACTCTGGGAGGCTGAGGTGGGAGGATCACTCAAGGTCAGGAGTTCGAAACCAGCCTGAGCAAGAGCGAGACCCCGTCTCTACTAAAAAATAGAAAGAAATTAATTGGCCAACTAAAAATATATAGAAAAAATTATCTGGGCACAGTGATGCATGCCTGTAGTCCCAGCTACTCAGGAGGCTGGGGCAGAAGGATCACTTGAGCCAAGAAGTTTAAGGTTGCTGTGAGCTAGGCTGATGCCATGGCACTCTAGCCAGGGCAACAGAGTGAGACTCTATCTCAAAAAAAAAGAGCTTCTTTGTTTTCATATGTGGCATATTTAAATTTTTCCAATTTAATATAAATTGCTTCCACCCCTCTGAAAAGCAATGAAATTCCTAAATGGGAAATTCAAGATGGAGTTTTACTTCAAATTGTGCCATAATCTTAATAGAAGAGTCATTTTTCATCTACCTAGACAGTACTCACATAATCAAGGCCTAAGAATTTAAAACCGACTATCATTTCTTTGAAGTCTTTTTAGAGTATTTAAATCTTAGGCCTGATGATTCTAGCACTAGCTAATAGTAAGGCCCAGCAGTATTTCTGGGTCCCTCTCTTAAGTCATAGACATGGAAATAAATTGAGGAAAAGAAGCCTATAGGAAGGTAAATCTGTGAGGGCATTTGGTAAAATGCCATAAGCATTTATTCTTTAGGAAAATAGCAGCAGTACTATAACTTTATTTTTCCCTAATGAGCTGTCTACCTTCAAGTAAGTGTTAAGTCAGATTCAAAGGGAAAAGCTAAGATGTGGAGGGCATCCAAATTTTATTTTTTACTTTTGTCCTGATCCTAGATGAATCTAACTTCATTTGTCAATTTATAAAATAAACTTAAAGACCACTTTTTGATAAATTTCCAAAAATGAGTTTCTGTGTAATGATTTACTTTGACTTAATCTGCTCAAAATGCCAAAATTAATCCCAGGTTTACAAACTTAAATGCTTTCAGGGGCTAGACAAGTAAGGCTGTACAATATGCAAGGACTCTGAACCTGAGGAAGATTCTACCTAATATCTTAATATTATAACCAACAAAAGTGTTATTTCAAGTTGAACTTAGTCAAGTTCACTAGTTTATGACCTCTGGCCTATCTTTTGTCTTAATTTGCTGAAGATTTATAAACATTTTTAAATAAGATTTTGAATCAAAATTTCATAAATGAAATATGTATGTTTTGTGATTTTCACTGATAGTGTCTTTACACATGGTAGTAATTGCAATGTATGCAATGCACTTGACTAAATATCACATATTTTTTCCTTTTAATTTAGGAAGCTGACATGGGTAACATTTTGATCAACTTTTTTAACAGTTAGGACAAAATTATTTAATACCCAGCATTTTTTATAGTTTCTCTGCCAGTTTTTTTAACCTTTTTTTTATAAGTATTAGCTATTTTCAAGCTAACAGTATGTTTAATTTGAGGCCCATTAATTCATTATAAGACAGGAAATACTAAGTTTTAAACTTGTATTACATATTGGCATATTTTGGATTATCATCTAGACAACTACAGTGAAACCTTAGTTGATTTAAAAGTTCAAGGAATGAGATTGTATGTCACTAATGACTTTCTCTCTTTGTGGTTAAGTGTCTGTTTTATAGTAATTTTCTTTTAAGTTCACAAGATGGTAGCATTTCCTACCAACTGTTTCCCCATCCGTTGATTTTTACCCATTTTTGAAAATATGAAGAAAATAAGTACTTTTAATGCCAATTTGGGATCTTTTTAATGGAGAATTGTTCCTTACCCATCTCCCACCATCTCATCCCCTACTAAATCATATGAGTCAGGAAAAACTAAGCTTTACAGGACTTTGTACCTAATAGAAGTTTAAGCCTATAATAGACAAATAATTTGGCTACACATTTGAGTGAATCTAAGGACACTTTTAAAAAAGTATTTCAGGCTTCCCTTGAGAGTGTATTTCCTCTTTTTTTTTTTTTTTTTTAGATTGGTTATTTCTAAAGTTAAAAAGATAATGGGGAAGAAGTAGAAAACATCAATTGGTTTTATTAATAAAAGTGAGCTTAGGGTCTTAGATATTTGATTTGACAGAAACTACCTCCTGTATATCACTTTCAGGGTGCCTTTTTATCTCCTTCAGGTTCTGCTTTTAGTAATTTTAATCTGTTTTCCTAGGTAAAAATAAAAGTGAAGGTTGGAAACACCTCTCCAACCAATTCACCCCTATATCTGGTTAGTACTCTGTTTACTAGAGTCCTACTTTGAATACCCATGGAATGTTTCTGACAAGGCATGACATTCCAAGTTTATGACCTTGGGCTTATAATTAGTATATTAATAATTATACATTAATTATTATAGAGAATTATTTAACAGATAATAGACTCAAATCTACATTCTGTTACTTATCTGCTGTATAATCCTTTGTAAAATTACCCCTTCCAGGCAGTGTTAGTGTCTGTCTGTATAATAGGGATAATAATACCAATCTTGTAGAGTAATCATGAGAATTAAATGTGTTAATACTTGTAAAATGTTTAGCATAATGCCTGGCACTAGCAAACACTCGTAAATACTGGTTGTACAGAGTGACTGAAGAAATTTTAAGATTAGCATTTGTTAACCATTTCAAAAGCTAGCTACTTAATATAACAAGTTGGTTAGTGACTTCAGTTCCTGAAACTTAACATGTTCAAAATAATGCCAGTTAGTTGAGGACTTCAGTGAAGTGCTAATTCTTTCGTTCAGCAAAGATCTGTAGAATATACTATGTACCAAAATATACTATGTACAAAACTGAATGTGGTACATAAGAGCCCAGACCTCATGGAGTTTGGAAAGGAGTGCTATGAATAATAAATAAATACAGTTCATGATAAATATAAGGTACTGTGAAAGAAACAGTCACCTGTTATTTCTTTTGTGAAAAAGGTGACATTTAAGCTGAGACCAGAAGGAACAAGGCACTAAATTTAATATGAACATTGTAGCTAATTAGTGGTTATGTGGTAGATCTTTATAATGCTAGTAAATCCCACATATTATGAATTGACATTTAGGTCTGTAGTCTTTAAATTTTTTTGGTTTTGATTTGAATGAATACTTTTAATAGAACATAAATAGCCATCCGTGATTTGTTTTCTAAAAAATTTTACAAGCTTATATGATTTTTAATTTTATGTTTTTGTATTTATTTTGATGTGATCACATGATAGTTTTTAGAAATAATTGAAAAAGATATTTAAAAATAATTAGAATGTCCTATCCTCAATACACTAGATTTAATAAATATTTACTTTCACTTTTTCTAGTTTTCTGTACCTTAATTTTTGTCTATTTGAATATATGCAATTTATTTTATATTTAAAATGAATTTGTAAGTTAAATTTTCTTTTTCCCAGATAGCTAACCAGTTGTCTTAATAATGAACAATAATTCTCTTTTATGCAGATTTCTTTCGCGGCATTGTTTTTGTTTTTTGGGGTTTTATTGAGACAGAGTCTCAGTCTGTTGTCTGGGTTAGAGTGCCATGGCATCAACCTACCTCACAGCAATCTCAAACTCCTGGACTTAAGCAATCTTGCTGCCTCAGCCTCCCAAGTAGCTGGTACTACAGGCATGCACCACCATGCCCGGCTAATTTTTTCTATATATTTTTAGTTGGCCAATTTATTTCTATTTATAGTAGAGACAGGATTTCACTCTTGCTCAGGCTGGTTTCGAACTCCTGACTCTGAGCAGTCCTCCCACCTCGGCCTCTCAGAGTGCTAGGATTACAAGGCATGAGCCACCAGGCCAGCTGGCATTGTTTTTTTAAAATAAGGAAAAGAAACTAACTGATGTGTCTGTATGGTCTTATATTAATAAGCCAATAAGTTGATTATGAACTTAAAAAATATTTTAATATATATTACATCTAGTTCTTCCTCATTTTTTCCCATTAATTTCCTTAGCTTATTTTCATTTGTTTTTCTAGATAAAATTTAGACAGTTTCTGTCATGTTGCAAACACAAATCTTAGTTTTGGTTGGCATTCTATAAACCTATATATTAACTGATATTTTTATAATTTCTACACAGAATTAATATTACTTAAAGAGGTACATATTGAGCTTCCAGTGACCAGTGATTATAATTGAGAGATAAAACTCATAAAGATCCTTTTGGCATAAAATGATTGTTTCATATTCAAAATGATGCATTTAAACTTGTTTCCCTACCAGGCTGAAATTGGTTAATATTTTGTTCATATTGTTTATAGTGAAGTCACTCAGGATTTTTATTTTAGCATATTACAGGGGTACAAATATTTAGGTTATGTATATTGCTTTTACCCCACCCGAGACAGAGCTTCAATCATGTCTATCCCCCAGGCAGTGCATACCACGCCCATTAGGTGTGCATATACCCATCCCCTACACCCCCCTCCCATCTGCCCAACACCCAATAAATGTTATTACTATATATATACTTAAGTGTCGATGAATGAATACTAATTTGATGGTGAGTACATGTGGTGCTTGTTTTTCCATTCTTGTGATACTTCACTTAGTAGAATGGGTTCCAGCTCTATCCAAGATAATACAAGAGATGCTATAGCAACATTGTTTTTTGTGACTGAGTATAACTCCATAGTATACATATACTACATTTTATTAATCCACTCATGTATTGATGAGCACTTGGGTCTCCACATCTTTGCAATTGTGAATTGTGCTGCTATAAACATAGTGCAGATATCTTTTTTAGAGAATGTCTATTGTTCTTTTGGGTAGATGCCCAGTAATGGGATTGCTGGATCAATGGTAGTTCTACTTGTATCTCTGAGGTATCTACTTGTATTCTCTTTGAGGTATTAGTTTCCACAGAAGTTGTACTAGTTTGCAGTCCCACCAGCAATGTGTGAGTGTTCCTATCTCTCCACATCCATGCCAACTTTTATTGTTTTGGGGCTTTTTGATAAAGGCCATTCTCACGGGAGTTG